CTGGGTTATCTTCATACATTATAAATTACAGAAACCATACAACCCGGCTCGGAGCAAATTAAGTCTGCCCTTTCAAACATACTCAAAATAAATAAACGATTTTTACCTAAACTCTGGCCTTCTGGTTTCGGTATTTGCAAAATGCACTTAAACATTTATGAGTAGCCAGTTCTTGCTGATGACTTAAGTAGATTTCAATACTTCCTCAAGTTCAACACGTCCCATCATGCTCATCTTGTTTAATGAACTATGTTTGCTCCAATAGGCACGAGTTTAATGTGTGTATCTGAAACACACATGAGCTCACTACTAAGCATTTCACCCCAGCCCTGAATTTCAATTAGCGAGCTAAAATGGCAGACACAAGTTTGATACACAAAGTTAAAATTCACACTGTTTTTGCCCAATGAAAACATTGATCCTTCTACAGTAGACAAATTATTATGCTGACCTTTGTATAAAATGTAAATGAGTATCAACACCAAAATAAATAAAATCTACAGGTCTATTTGTACTAACCAGGAAAGATTTACATAGAATGATATGCATGGAAACAGATCATTCCACGCAACTCGTCCACGCTCATATGGAGACTCATCAAGAAAACATATCATTACTAATGGCACCACTGAATCTTTGCTTCACAATTTAATTATAATATTCTATATGACTTTTCTCATCCCTCCCCAGGGTTAGCTTTTCGGAGAAATAAGTTTGGTTTCCTCACATTGGAAAATAGAATATTTAATCAGTCTGGAAACTGAATGAGCAACATTTATTGGGTCCAAAGGTGCCAGAGCACTTGGAATGCAGAACCTTGTGAACGAGCAATTTATCCCTAGTGGTTCTATGAAGCGACCCAAATAAACTTTCAGGTTCATAGCAATGACTTGCCAAGTTTGTTTTCAGTGTAAAACAAAGTTGCTCATCTTCCAAAATGGAAGGCAAAAGTTACTGTCTCAAAAACTAGATACATATAAAAATAGTTATATGTAATACCAAAAGGTTTATCAAGTTTATTTGAGTGCAGTTGAACTATGGAGGCAAGGATGGTGCTAAATTCAATCTTAATTTGTGTTGATCTCAGTTAGGACATGAGTAAGTAGGGCATAACGATTGGCCACAGAGCACTAGGTCAGAGAACAAAATGAGGTCAGCCAAGATTCCTGCTCACAATTACTGGCTGGAAGCGCAAATGTGTGGACACAAAAAAAATGCCAATAGAATCAGGCTCGGCTATGATGTCCCAGCAATCAAATAGTTTGCCAGCACTCACTAACAAGGCTCGCAAATAAATAATAGCCACTCAATATACTCAAGGAATACTCAAGGAAACTGTGAATTTGCAAGGCAGTGAATGAAGATTGAAAGCTTGTGCCTAATGAGGCCTAATAAGTACAGTCCTGAATTTTAAGCATTTAAATCATGCATATACTGCTGAACAATAGAATTCTGATTATTCAAACTGGATTAAAAATAAAGGATTACAAATATTAATTCCAGGAATATTCTTGATAGTCATGTCCACAATGTTTTATTTCAAAGACAGTAACTGTTAGTGGCAAGTGAGAAGAATCTCACACATTGCAACTTTTTACGGAGTAGTCATATTTGCACATTTATCTAATTGTGTATTTTCTCAATCCCCACCTTAAAAACATAGAATGCTTGATATGCAAATTTCACTTCTGATAAAGTTATCTTTGCTCCATGAAGCAATGACCATGAAATTCTTAAGGATAGCAAATTCTATGTCATCAGCTTGACAACCATTCATTGGAAACACATTTGAAATAGATTATCCTCTAGCAATGTTTAATGTATGCAATTACATTGTTTATAAAACAGCATTACAAAATCTATTGTATCGCTTTGTTTGCAAAAGCGCAAACAATTATTTCTGTTGTCAAATATTACGCCACTGATTAAATAACTGAATATGGGCTAGTCCTGTATTACATTGCCAAACAACAGTGAACTATGTGGTGTTTGGGCAAGTCTCAGCTTGTATGGCTTTGACTTTTCAATCTCTCATTGGACGTCAAACACTCAAAACAAAAAAGCAGATGTTAGCAATCATCTGTTTTATTTCTGCATTAATCTGTATAACTGAATCAGAAAGCATGACAAATGGATTTAAGTTATGACTGACTATACTTTCAAGACCATCAAGTTCATTAAACTCAACTATTTACATTGAAGCAAGCATAAAGCATTGGACTGTATTAACTAACAGACACACCAATGTTAGTTGGACATGCAAGTGTTCCGATTTACTTGAGAATGCCATGCAAGACATCATTGCAAAACTATATCAAATGTATAGAGCATTCTCTTGCCAAACTTGTGCATAAAATGTACAGTTTGTTTTAATTTGTAATGTAACAATATTTTGCCTTAAATTGGGATATTTGTCAGCTATCAGCTATCTAAAATTAAAGGCCTACATGAAGGTACATTATCTCTTCCGAGGGAAGTGGACTATAGCTATACAACCGTTACACGCAGCACTGGACAACACCAAAGTTTTGTTCAGTTCCTTTGGAACATTTCTATTTAAATGAAAAAGAGATATATTTTGCTTTCAGCAAGTATTATAGTATTAAAACAGTGTAAATCAAATGCAAGGATTATTATTATTATAATAATCATACATTCTCATGCCCTTTCTGTCATAGAGAACCATTTTAACGACTCAATGCCCATGGGGTGTCAATATTTTCTTCAGGGTGAAGCATCTCAGTCCCAATTTTTCAATGTGAAGTCCTTCCTTTGATGCCACTCGAAACCCAAAGCCACAACATAACAGAATTATGATAACCACAATAAAAATACTACCATACTTCCGACCTCATTTACTGGATTTATGTTGGTAAGCCATAGCTACCACCACATTTAAGTTAACGTCCTTCATATTTGCTATCCGTAAACATTCATTCCCTTAATCATTTTGTCTTCCCAACTGTATAATCCCAATTTACCTAATTTACACATAGCCTCCCTCCTCCAAAATATCCTATACCAGCTGGGAAAGAAAGCAAACTGGTTACAAATTCTTCTGCAAATTACACAGATGACTCAAGTTGTACTTAATTATTAGCGCATGCTCAGACAAGGGTTACGGTGTCTTTTCAGCAACCTGGAATTTCAGCAGCAAGCAAAATGTGCTATTTGACCAGCAAACATTGGTACAACAACAAACAGTGTTGTTAACAAGACTGTCAGATGCGTGACTAGCACCTTGGGATACAGGCCAGTAGAATGAGACTACTTTGGTCACTTCTTCATGCCATCTATTCGGAAATTACTATATTCTGTCAAAAGGTATACCACAAAACGTCCCATCTGGAATGTATAAAACTGGTCATGTGTGAGGCAGATGGATTCAGGAGAGACAGATATCTGTGCAATTAATTCTGGCAATTACAGGATGTCCTATAAATCAAAAATGCAAATCACTAATCTAGAGAGAAAGAGCACACTTTTCCCCTTTCCCCTCTAGTATTATCAATTATGTCCTATCAAGACATTTCAAACATTAACCTTATGTTAATGACGTTCTCTCAAATCAATTCTCTTCACAATAAAGTTAAAATATCAGGATGTTCATAGCCCCCAAATACACAATATAACAAAACAATAGTGCAGCCACCAAACAGGTACAAATAAATGTTGGGTTTTGTATTTTTGTTTTAGCTGCAAACTATGGAAAGAGCCGAAGCCGAAAACCCTAAAGTTCCAAACAACGTGCATCTAATTCCAAAGGCAGTTTGGTGTTGGGAGCCTTGATTAAAGCTTCAAGGTTTGTCCGAAACCTTTATTACCCCCCCTTTTCTCAACTGGATGCGGGGAGAGGGAGTTATTTGACAACATTCCTAAAACAGAACACTATTAGAAGTGTAAAAAAAAAGCCTTGCCTTGAGATCGCTCACGTCACTTAAGGACAGAAGCGACAATTATAACCCAGAGAACATTACGAAAATAATAAGAAGCCTTGTACTTGATACAGCGCCTTATCGCGCTGTTGAGACGTCTAAAGCGCTTCACGGAACATCCTGTAAAAAGTGTGCACCTAACAAATTTCATAAAAGGGATGGCATATCTAATAAGTCACTAAACACCGTGTGTGTGTGTGTAAAAAAAATAGGCAAACGTTTCATCCTAAACTTTCTGACGACTTTCTTCTCGAACTCCTTTCCTTCCGCATTGCTCTAATGTGGATTATTTCCCTGAAAGTGAGAGAGAGAGAGAGAGAGAGGAGAGGTGGGGGAGGGAGGGAGAGAGAGAGAGAGAGGGAGGGAGTGTGTGGGTGTGAGTGAGGAAGGGGGGAGTAAAGTAAAGGTGGTCATCAATGGCGAATTGCTCCCTTGGCCACAAGGCCGGGGGCGGGGGGGGGGAGTTGGGTTTGCGGGGGGTGGTTTGGGGTTGAGGGGGGGGGGGGTGGTTTGGGGTTGCGGGGGAGGGGGGAGGGGTGTTGGGGGAGGGGGGGGGGGGGGGGGGGGGGGGGGGAGGGGGTGGTTTGGGGTTGAGGGGGGAGGGGTGGTTTGGGGTTGAGGGGGGAGGGGTGGTTTGGGGTTGAGGGGGAGGGGGTGGTTTGGGGTTGAGGGGGGAGGGGGTGTGGGGGAGGGGGTGTGTGTGGGGAGGGGGGGGGGGGGTGTGGGGGAGGGGGTGTGTGTGGGGGGGGGGGGTTAGTCAGGCGCTGGTCGAGGCTCGAGCTTCTCCCGAGTCCTCGTCAGTCAGTCAGTCAGTCAGTTCGGCTTTAACTCTCTCCTTATTCTTCCCTCAGAAGAAAAATGGAACCCCACCCACACCCCACACCCCCCCCCCACACCCCCCCCCACACACCCCCTCTCCCCTCCCGGGGCCCTGACAACAACTGCGTCAAAAAAAAACAATAAAAGATATTTACATATACATATATATACATAGAGAGAGAGAGAGAGAGAGAAAGAGAGAGAGAGAGATAAACCTCCCCCCCCACACACACGCACACAACTTACCCGACCAGGCAGCCGTGAAAAGTAAACCGCCTCCTCCCCGCCCCGCGCGCACACACACACACACACCGGCTCGGGCTCAGCGGCGGCGCAGCTCCAGCCACCAGCAGCCCCGGCAGCGGCAGCGGCGGGAGGACATTTCCCTAACCGCCCACCTCCGACTCGGGGCGGCCCGGCAACTTCCGGTTCTCGCCGCCCGGCCGGAAGCGGTCCCCGCAGAGGCCGCCGGGACTTGTAGTTTCACACACACACACCCCCCCCCCACCCCCATCCAAGCCCATTGTGTGGTTGGAGGTGGGGGTTCAGCTCAATGCACTGAGGGCAGCCCCCCCCCCCCACCCACACACACACACACACACACACACCCCCTACCCCCCTCCCCTCCTGGGTCTGACCTCCTCCTCGTTCCCCCCGAGTCCCCCGCTCCACCCTGGGCGGCCGTACCCTCAGCCACTGCGCCCCGAGGCTCTGGGACTCCCCTTCCTCACCCCCTCCGCCTCTCCACTCCTCCCCTCCCATTTTTCAGGTCTCTGCTGAAGACCTTTCTTTTCGACCGCGTCTTTGGTCACCTTTCCCCCCCCAACCCCAATCCCCCCCCACCCTCCCCCCGGGCTCGGCCCCGGGATCCGCGACTGTGGAGCGCTCTGAGACGCTGTCCAGAATGGAGGGCGTTGTATAAACCCAAGTTGTTGTTGATAATAATGTCACTCTTAATAATCCTCCCATTTCGTCCCAGCGCCTTATCGCGCCTTCGAGACGTCCTCCCAGCGCGTCACGGGCGGGATACACCGTCGAGTGAATGGACTGTGTACCCTTGTGGGAGAAACGCGCACCGCGGCGTCCCGCGTACAGTGATGGATTGCAGTGACTGCGTTTTATTATTTATTATTCGTTTTGCGAAAGGGTTATTAACTGGTTATACTCCAGCGGACACCGCCACCCCCACCCTCCGCCCAACCCAACGTCGCTGTCGAGCCTTGGTTCTCGCCAACCCGCACCCTAATCCTCTCCAGCGTTAGGTAAACGGGGCGTGTCGCTCCAGGGAGAGCGCGGGCATTCCACTCCGGACACAGGAATTTCCGTGTGTAGGCGGCATATGCATTTGTGGAATTCTCAGTCTGGCTTGGATACTCTTTACGCACGGGGATGGGTTTCCGCATGTAACAGACACCGAGCTTACCAAAAGGAAAACAAAAAGCACTTAATCCATTTTTAAGCGTGTTTTTTGGGGCATTTTTTCTAGGAGGATGGTTAAGGAAATGTACTCCTCTATCAAATCTACCTCATGACATTTACTTTTGAAAGCTACGGGAACATTTCATGTGTGACCTCAATTTTAGTGGGATATTGAAAAGAACAACCACAACCAGTTGGAACTTCTCCCTTTATTATGCTATTACGCGCAATGTGTTAGAAATATAGAAGCAATTTTCCCAATTATGTTAATGTCGTAAGTCCATTTGCTTCACTTCAAAGCATTCAGAGTCATTTCGCTTATGATAGCATTTTTAATTCCAAGTAACCCAACTTAAACCCTACATACTGCAGTTGGGTTTTTCTGGAAAACAGCTGTTTTGACCCGCGTAGCATATTCATTAAACTGTATAGCATTCAGCATAGTACTAAAGGAAAAATATAGTTAATAAACAGATTTAAAACTCAGTTGAAAGGAGTTGAAGATGACCCTGGATGTTAACCAATGCTGAAAAAAACTGCAAACACCTGTTGCTGCTTCCGAATGCCTTTTCCAATGGGACCTGCCTCGATATTTGGAGAATGTGTGCAGGAAATACCACATAATTTTTCTACGTATATTCATTGTGTATATTCATCCCAGATAAAGCCTTACCACATGCCAGGCAAGCAAGACATGACCTATTTTGAGAGCCGAGGCATTTCCCTCCATACATGTTCAGTTTGCACAACTTGCACTGGACCTCACTAAAGGAATGTAGTCTATGATACAACTTGACTTACTTCCATTTGTAGTGGCCTTGACAGAACATTGACTAAAAAGGGCATCTCAATCGCTCAATAGCCAAGTTGCAAAAGTCTGCTTTCGCCTGAATGGAACTGGAACACTTTGGAAAAAACACCATTGATTCCCTTATGGACTGGTTCCATATCAAGGAGTGATTTACACTTTGTGGATGCATTCTCATATCTAGAACATGCAATTTTCATTCTCAGAGTAATTTGCGTCATTACCAATTTAAATATTTAGAAAACGCAATCTGAAGAGGAAAAACAAAATCTCAGCATCCACCATAAAAAGACTATAAAAATGTTGCTGACATAAAAAGTATTCTGCTCTTTATTCTTCAGTAATAAGGTTCATTAATATTCTAGCAACTCATGGGATACAAGCATCACACAGTGTACTGGTACCAGACTCCTCCTCAGCTTTCAGACAGAGCAACTCGGCCAAAAACGAATGGAATTCTGAAGTGGGAATATTGCCCCTGTGTTCCTTTGCTAATTATTTTAAATTGATGCTTTCTGGTTACCATTTAACTTATACTTGCTTGCTGTATTCTTCCTATCATAATGTAAAACCTCACATTTTTCTCTATTCAATTTCATCTGCCATCTTTCTGCCCAATCTACTCGTCTGTCTATATTGTTACTTGCAATCTAACTACTTCTGTGTTAGCTTTTTTTGCATCATCTATAAACTTATAAATTGTACTTTCAGAATTCCAGAATTCAGATCATCATTTATATAAATGAAGACGTCAGACTAAACTTCGAGATTCAATTCTAATTTAGGTTTCCAACATCCTGCCTGTATCTCTCTTATCTATTCATTAATTGATATGTATAGTGGACAATTGAAAATTGCCTTCTTAAGCCTTTCAGGAATTAAGACCGATTTTCTTTTGAACACCAGGTGGAACAATGACTTTTTGTTTATTTTAGTCTTAGATGTATTAGATGTGCATTCATGTTAGGTTCACTGCTCGTGCTATCAAAATAAGTCTATAAAAATGCAAGTCAGAAAATATAATTATTCCTATTGCACAAAGCATTATATGCATGCAGTGCTTTCTAGTTAACTAAACCAATGGCAAATTAAAGCGATCACACAACAGCTTGATATCTCTTCGAAGCTTCAACATGTGGTTCCAAACTTTCAATCTCTAAAAATGCCTTGCAGGATCTTTTCAATTCCTGCATTAATGTTGAATGTTCATTGTTATTGTGTAGATATTGTTGAATGCAATTTTGTACTCACAAGTTAACAGTCGGGAAAATAAGACCACACTAAAGCTGCAATAGCCATGGAATTCTGTTCAGTCATTTTAATTTTCAACGCAAAAATAATTTTACAGTAGTTCCCTAAGGGTCCCAGGAAATAAATTAAGATTTGTTATTAATAAATGGCTAGAGAAGTGAAGAATAATTAACCCAATAACAAGAGCAAAAGCGAATAGGCAAACAGTGAGTCATGTTTATGACAGGAACGCATTGCAGCTATTTTGGTTCTGTAATACTTGTTTCTTAAGTTGCAAGTACAGTAGTTACCAAAGAAATTTCTGATTTATCAAAGCCTTGAAATAAGCAATCTTGTATTTAATATGTCAATTTTCTTGTGATCATATAATGAAGATAATCCAAATGTAGAGCTTGATGGAGGGGAGGCGGTATTAAAGGGTAAACTCATTATTGTGCTGTCATCTGGGTCCAGAGTCTCAAATGCAGAGTTATAAAGTGAAATAAGGAAAAAATGATCACCTTCCAGATTGTCAGGTTGCACTTATGTTACTCCCTGTGCACCAACACTCTGGAGGCCGGCTCATTAGTGCGGGAAGTTGGAGTTGGGTGGACCTCACTTCTCATTACCATGAGTTACTTGCAGTCCACAGGATGCTAAGATTATAAACAAAGGCAAGGTTATAACCTGTGGGTGTTATAATGGTATCGCCCTGTAATAACGCATTTTGAAAGGTTTAAAGTGACTTAGAATGTACAGTAATTTTTCAATTAAAATTGTGTCATCACAACAAAATATGGGAACTCACTTCATTAATATTTTAACTGTTTCATTCTAACATCTGTTGAAAAAAATCTGTTGCTTAATTTTCTTGTTATGAACTGGCCAGAGGTATGACAAACTACAATATTCACCACCGAATGGATTCTCTATGCGACCTGGGAATTCTATTTAATCCTACATTTTGCTTCATGGAGGTCAGGTAAAATGATTGCACCCAGATTTCATCAGAGAATTGGGGTGGAACTCCAACCAACCTTTTAGAGGAATTTTAGGTGTGTCCACAAGGAACATTGTAGGTGTATGAAAGAGAATGGTTTTCCCCATTCTTCAAGATTATACGAGATCAAAAAGGTGTGACTGTTTATGGAAAGACATTTATACAAAGCAAACAAAGCCACTGGTTCAAGCAGAGAGAGCATTACAGCAGTTTGTATTGGACAAAGTTAAAAACACAGGTTAGAAACTGAAGAACATACCATTCACGTTTCTATCGTCCTCTCATTCTCCTTGAGGCTTGGAAATTCTCTTCAATAAATGTTACCGATAGGTAAATAATATTGGGCTTGAGGTTTAGATGGGCTTTTGGTTTTTAACAAACTTGGTAATTATTCTCTTCTATCATTGTAATTTTTCTAAAAAATTCTGACAAGTCATGCACATGAATACTTTAGTTTTGATCAGCTCTTTTTTTCACTGAAGCTACAAGAAGTTGAGAATTCTAGTTCCTCTGTTCCTCTCCCCCACTTCCCTCAATCTATCTGCAAGAATCATTGTATTTGCAAACTTATGAACTAAGATAAGGACTCTATTGTAGCAATGGGTCATTTTGCTTTTTTGACAACTCAAGTTCTTGTTTCTGGGAATACCATAATACTCTGTAATCGAAATATTTCTGATTGCTTTCATTAAGCGCGATTCTAAAAGACCTTATTGTTCTCTTGTTTTATTCATGCAAAAGATATTTATAAATTTAGCCCTTCTTCAGCCCCGAGTCAAAATAAGAAAAGTACCTCAACAAAAGGTCAAATAGGCCTGAGATAATTGAAACTGACTTCAGACAGCCAAAAACAAATACTTAATGTTTTTCGTGACATTTGACATAGAGGATCAATCTGAATTGCACCCAAAGGCAAACCTAGGTTTTGATCTCGAATATCCAGGCTCCTTCTTGTTTCACTACAGCCTGTTTCTTTGCTTGCTATTTTGCAAGATACTTTATCAAGATTAAATGATACAAGACAAAATATTTGCATGCTATTTCTGCACAGTAACCTCGATGTGCAAACAGGTAGATTATTAATATTCACAAGATTATTTCACTTCAATGCACACAAACACTGATTCTATTAACACACTATCAAAAATCTATATTCTATAAAATCTGATCTCTCGGGCTAGTTTTTTTTATAAGACTGAATGCAGAATTAGGAGTACCTAATATTACGCCACCCTACATTAACTGTCAAATTGCCTGGTCCCATTGTATTTTGTACTATTATTTTATCTTGCTTAATGATAACATTGCAAAACTATGTAGTATTCTGTATTTGTTTAATTCTGAAATTAGACAATTGGAGCACAGATAGACCTCAGCAGGAAGGGAGACAAACATATGCCCAGTGAGTTCTGCAATTAAGAAATATATTCAAATATATTCAAACATGCCCCGACATACTTCTAGGCATGTTATTTGACATCTTTCTATTGTGTTCTCTCCCTAATGAGTATTGTTTGATTGGCTTTTCCACATCTGACCCTTTATTTTTTAGCACAGTTAAGAAATGGCACAAAAAAAATGACTGTACATTAAAACAAAAGTCTGCTATTGAATAGTGCAATGCTAGTGTTGTATAGGTTTATTGTTGTGTTCTCTTGTGTTTGCAGCTCAGTTACAGGACTCAATCTATTCAACTTGTACCCGATATCAGCTGCCAGCTATCACTCCTGCCATTGCTACCCCTGCCTTAACAACGCTAAGTGGCTCATATCCTGTGCTTCCTTAACAGATTCACCACTGAGTTCTCCTTGTTCTGGAAACAGAGCAGAACAGCACACAGAATTATTAGTACAAAGAACACATAACCATCCACCACCCATCATTCTCTGCACTTCTCTGGTCATGTAACAACGACAACAACTTGCATTTATATAGTGCCCTTCACGCTGGAAGGAGTCTCGGAGCAGTTGCATCAACTTTGCCTTTGAACATGGGAGCAAGAAGTGACCGAAATACCAATTTTCCCATGAAATACGACATTCATTGTAATTTGCTTAACACCGCTGTTGTTATTGCTTGGCACATAGAACTTTTTGCACATACCGCATTTACAATTTAAACTTTTTCCCCAATGTGCATATCAGTCTAGTCAGTCTTGTTATACATCAATATTAATATTATTTTATCCTTGCATTTGATATATGTTGTGCTTGTGCATGTCTCTATTATTGGGACGTCCTCCTGACATATATACAAATGTAATTTCGTTGTTGCCTACTGATTTTTTTAATACATATAGATCTTTCAATTTCTCAGACAACCCTCGCTCGGTTTGTTATCTCTGACTATGCTTCGCACCTCATCTGAATATTGAGGAGAGTTTAGCAAAGTCCCTCCACCAAAACCTGTCTGAACTGATGCAGCAAGCTAACCCTAAGTGCTCTGAGACGTCTCGATTGGCCTTTGTTGTTCAACAATTCCTCACCCACAGCTAATTTCACAGAAGTTCTTTTTAAAGAGCTCTAAATTAGTTTATTAAGTTTCATTCCTAGGTGCCATCACAACAAATTGTTGCTAACGTTAACAGAATGCCATTTCTTACGCTCAGCATTTAGGAATGCCTGTTGTTCCTGCAATATTTTTAGAGAGACTTCAAAAAGATCATTAAACAGACTTCAATCCCTTTTTTTTGTGATCAGCTGCCAGCACACATAATAACGAAATCAGATTGAGAATCAGTGGTGCTGTTACATTACTGTAATTCCGTCTCAAGAAGCGTCTGGTAACTCCTTGGAACTAGCATTAAATAATGAAAATTAGAGACCAGATGATATCTTGCTAGTACCATTACTAAAAGGTGGAAAATCAGCCTTTCTTCTCCAGTATGAATACCTTTCTCAAAACGTTAATATACTTCTCTCGATTTCTACCAACAACTGCACATTCCTCTCTTCCACAAATAAAGTCCTCAGGCAGGCACATGTGGCATGTTGACAAAAGAGTTCACAGCAGTTTTGCTTTGTAAACTTTTACTGACACGAAACCCTCAAAGGCTGCAACGTGACATTTTCAAGCCAAACAATTGTCACTTTTACCCCGATGTGTTATTTTTTTTTTAATTCAGAAATTTTAGACAGTTCGAAGGTTCCCTTCCCTTTGGCTCTGTGTCACGATGCGGGAAAAAGAAGAGCAAAAGTCACAAAAATAGGCATGGTGAGTCCAGCAATCATCAGGACCTGAAAGAATAAAAAAAGAATCATTAACTTATTAGCATTCCATGTCTGACCTCAGTAAACAAAGGCGGTTCATACTTTGGCCTTGACCACTTGTGTTACTGTTCCCATAGATAGCTTCTCAAATCATTAGTTATAGTGGCCTCTGGTGGCCAATTAATAGTGCAATCACTCCCCAACAGAAGGACTGCAGATCATTTTTAATTTGGGCTAAATTTCCACGATTGTATGCCGGGTAAAGTGTATTCATGTGTTAATTAATTAATCCCCACCCTCTGAAACTCTAACCCACAGTCCCTACTCCTCGAACCCCTCCCTTGAAGACCCATCTCAAGACCTTCCTCTTTGACCGTGCCCTCAGTCACCCTCTTACCCCAACCCTCCCCGCCCTCCACCCCGCCTGATCCCAATCACCAGCTGGGTACGGATCCCTGACTGTCCAGCGCCTTGGGACGTCCTCCTGACATGAAAGACGCTTTACAAATATAATTTGTTGTTGTTGCTAAACCTTACCTGACTGTGGCATGTCTTTTTAGTAACGCCAAATTTCTGGGTCTGTTTCCCAGAATTAAAGACTTGCCATCGTTCATCAACCAATGACTGTACTTGAATTGCATACTGAATTTCACGTTCCTGGCGTAAACTAAACGCATAGCGTTCACAAATTCTGAAGGGCAAACTCGAGTCTGTGTGTTTTAGTCTCTGGAAACAACAATGGATTGATTTAATAAGTGAACCCAGAATGAATTTGTTAAATTATATTAATGAAGGTTTAGTGCTGTTAATGTTTGTTTCAGCAGCAGTGTATTAGTTTCTGGCCTATGCTTGAACTAGTTTAAATTGTTAATAGACACGTAAACATTTCCAGCTGATGTTTGAAACGCTCCACTGAATAAAGCAATTGCAGATTTAGATAGAACACATTTAAAGCATTCACTAATTTGTACAATAAATGCTATATAAAATTACGGCAAGAAAATTACATTTTTAAAGCACCTTTCACGTCGGGAGGACATCCCAGTGATTATAAATTATATATTTATATATTTATATACATCATTATAAAGATGCGAAAATCAAACCTTTCAAGGATAAGCAAAAATGCTAGACAAAAGAGAGAAGGCCAATTAAATGAAGCTGGAGAACAAAGAACAGCGCGTCTGCACTTCAATGCTGAAAGGACTGCAACAGCGCACCAAAATGAGGTGCCCACTCAAAGAACAGCATGGCCAAAATGAGTCCTCCCACACGAGTCCCCAGATAAAGATGAAATGAAATAAAGATGAAATGATTGTCTGTGTGTCTGTCTGTGTGTCAATCTACATTTCATATTGGATCCTTTGGTTGCAAGCGAAGCTGCAATGGGTACAGCCCATTCCTTATAAATTCATAACTACTGGAAATATATTGAACTCTTCTTCTAGGATGGGAGAAATGCAATGAAATGTTTACATTCTCATGTTAACTCAAGGCACACTACCTTGCATTCGTTTCGCATGTCATCAGTCATGAAACCACGGAAACAATAAGCAAATATTACAGGAAAGCTAAATTAGGCAGCACTCCAGAGAACACAGAGGCCTCTCAAAAGAATGTCTTTGTCAACATTTCATGGCTTAAAGTTAGAGAGATAAATCATTAGCCACAAAAAGAAATGGGGGTGGGCACGACAGAGATATGAGTCACTGCTAGAGAGATAATCAAGAACATATCTCAAAATTCTGTAACTGTACCACAACAGGCTGTTGCAAAAGCAGACACCCGCATCACAAGACAGTTAAAAATGCGTAAAGACTTAAATGCTAAAACTGAATATATTCAGGCTTTCTCTTACCCTGTTGTGCAATAGGGAGTGCTGTTTGTGCGTAGGTTCCTGTATATGCAGATATTGTCTTATGCATTAGCTTGCATTGTGCAGTGTCGCCCATCTGCATTTCCACTTTAGCAAAATGATTGCACACAGCCACTTTTGTACTCATGAATGATTAATTAGGGACATTACCATCCACTTGATACACGGCAACGATTTCCCCCTCCACTTTCAAGTGGAAATTATATGCATTAAGGAGAATGAATTGAACCAGTTCCTAAGTGCTCGCTGTGTGTTCCAGCTGAGTGCACAGGCTGGGAAAAAATGGCAAAGCTTTATTTCTGTGACGAGTTGCAAAGGTAAGACAGAGAGAGGATAGTGGAGGATGAGACAATGTGTAATTGGCGATACAGCACTAAGCTTTGCAAAACGATACATGTGGAAACTAGCCTCGTGTCAGCAGATGCTCTTGCCATAAGGCAGCATGTAGATGAGGAAAGGCGTAGGCCTGAGGTTAGAGCACTGAAATACCATATGCAAGGGTGAGAGGAGAAGCCGTCGGAGTAAGCAAAATGAATGCAAGCGATTCAACACATCAAAATGGACAGAGGCAATCTGCTCCAGGTTCAATTTGAGAAACACGTGAATCGTCTCCTAGACAGAAATTACAATATTTGGAATTTTGACGGTTTCCACTGGCCTTGAATGGGTATTTAAAGTTGTCATTTTGTCCTTTGTACACCATCTTGTTTCAATAGTCCTTTTCCTATACTTTTCCCCTTACTCTTAGCACCCTTATCACACAAGACCTGTTTTGTCTCACTTTAGTGCCATTGACTGCGATTCATTTTCAGACGCTAACAGTTCCTTCGCATTGTAAGTGATACTTTTCTTCAAACCTCTTGTTCCATTTGAAGCGTATTAAGTTTGTATTCATGTCCTCCAGCTCTGTGCTCACTGACCAACTTAAATAGGCTGTTAGTACCTACATTATCCCTGTCTTGTAAGAATATTTTAGACCAATAAAGTTATGCAGGGAAAATAAAGAAGGAAATACAGCCAGGAACCCTCGCTTTTGATACATTAAACTACAGCTGTACTGATTATCTCTAAACCAGCACTAGCATTGGAATTACCACCAGAATTCCTCAGAGGTTATGCTTCAGGCTGGTTTGCAAGTGTTTAAGACTTGACTTATTGATTTTGTTTCTGACACTAATAGGTCCATCACAGGAATGTGCTGTACAGCAACATGCATTTGCCTCAGATTTCATGATGCAGACATATTTCATTGCAAAAATAAAACTTCCAATTTTTCCCTACCCCACTCCACAGCTCACATCTGGAGATGGAGGTAGAGACAGTAATAATTCAAATTGATTTAACAAATATCTATCCAAATAAATCCAAACAAATATTTTCTCTATCATTATATTAGTGCCTAAGTAGTTGATGGAAAGAATAGTTTTGATTTTAATTAGAGCCATCTGCCTGATCCGACAGTTTCTGTCTTGCTATTGAACGCAAAAAAGATAAAACACAATCTTGCTCAAAATATTTTATATAAAAGTGCTGCCCATCACCTAATGCCCATCTTTTTCAAATTAAGGTGGCTGTTATCTTACCTGTATGTAAAAGCTGTAGATAGATTTCTTTCTTTCCTGAACAGCTTTTAGTTCAAAATAAAATCCACAGTGTGCAATCATTTCTGAGTAGTACTGTGGCTCCTGTTCACACACACATGAAAATAAGATGATACGAAATGAAAAGGCATCCAAATTATATCAAATACCATCACAGACACAATCAGAATTGTGACACAAGAAGCACCTCAATATATCTATGGCTTCGCCTTCAAAACCGAGAAGAAGTTGTGCTTCAAGTGTTATTTGCCGGCATTAAAGTAAGAATAAATTTTTAAAAATGTTTTGCTTTGATGTGCCATAATTAAGCAGACTATTTTAGTTAGTCCAGCAGAAGCAAAACTATTCGATTTGAAAATGATCCGTATTTTCGATCTAAAAATAAATTCATATAATGCACTGGGGTGGTGACTGATGTTTCTCTTTATACCTGTGATCCACTTGAGAGCATTATAGGTGTTTACTGATGGCCTCTTCTGAATAAACATTGTTTTGGTTAACTTTATTTATCATATCTATTGCTTTTACCTCTGTAATGATGAATCCAAATCGGATAGCTTGAGTGGAAAAGTCTTTCAGGAATGGCATGTCCCCCCCATGCTGTAGCTGTAACATTGATAAATAGCATTGAAATCTTACAGTCTTCCAGGCCTTTCACAATATTTTTAAATGATTCTATAGCCTCTGCACTGGAACGTATAACCAATAAAGATATGATCACTGTCTTTAAGATGGTAAAGGGACTAGACAATGTAGATCATGACAGGCTGTTTCAACTTGTCCAGAATAGTAAAGCCTGAGGACATGGCCTGCAATTGAAGGCGGGTAAATTTAGAACAAATCTACGCAAATACTATTTCAGTGAGCGAATAGTAAACCTGTGGGACAGGCTCCCTGGGGAGACGGTTGAAGCAGGAAGTGTTGATTACTTCAATCACAGATTAAATAGTTTTCTTTTAGGAAATAACATTATGGGATATAGTGCATAGGTAGTTCATGACACATGTGTGCATGCGACCACCAGGAAGGTGGAAGGCAAACTAGATGGACCTTGGTCATTTTTATCCAGCATTTCTCATGTTCTTAAAGATGTTTCCAAAGTTTTTCCATGTTACCACAAAGGATTTGGGGATTTAAAAAAAAACTCTTATTGGGATTTCTATCTACATTGTGCAGCTCACTGGAATTACAAATCTCCCCTTTTTTTCAGGTATTCACATAAATAATATTTAGATTTCTTTTTAAAAAGCAATTTTTTTTCATAGCTTCTTCAAAATCAAATTGATTCTTTCAGCATAAAGCCTTAGGATTTCTGAAACAAATACGTTACATGAAAATGGCGATGTGCAAAAGAGTCACTTGACCGTACTTAAGCTGTAATTACTCCTGACAGTGATTACAGGTCTAGTTTGAAAACTGTGAGATTGACTCACTGCATGGTAGTTGTGGGTAAGTATCTGCAGCAGCCAAGCCTGTGGGAACAAATTGATTTGCTGCAGCTCTTCAAGATGCTTAGCTGTGAAAACGAAAAGAGTAGTCTGTATTCACGCATATGCCAACAATCAAGTTCCAACAGAATGCTGAGACACAAGAGCGATGCTGAATCTGAATCATTTCCTCATTTAAAAATTTCCATGCTGCTTACACTCAATGCCCTTTGTACGTTAGTGCCAGCTCATAATATTTTGCATGCCATATGAAAGTTGCCTTAGTATGTGTGAAAGAGCTAGATAATATGGAATTATCAGACGTTGCACTTAAAAATGCTGATGTGTTTGCACTTAACAAAACTCACAAATGGTGCTGACTGTAGTGAGATATGAAGGACTTTTTAAATAAATAATAATTAAACTAATCATCTTTCTATTTGCTAGGCTGCATTACACATCAACACATCTGAAAACACTTCAAAGGTAATTGCAGTCAAGTGTAATGACTTGGTACGTGTAGGCAAACATGGCAACAATACCAATACAGCAACATCCCAAATGCAGCTACGAAGCAAGTGCTTTTATCTGAAGAACAATCTATTGACACAAGCCTGTTTCTGCCCCTTCAACGTATTTTTATTCCACACACATACTAATTTAACATTCTCCTGGAAGGGGATAATGAACCACAACTGGACTTCAATCCGATTGTTGGAGACAGCCAACAAAATCCTGTTCCATCTCCTCAATCACAAAACACTGCAGCACAATAATATTCTATCATTATGTGAGGAAAGAGAATGCCTTTGTGTAGACAAACCAGTTTTCAGACTTGAACCAATATATATTACGCATTTGCAAAATTAAACATCTGGGGAAAGAAATTCCACTTGGGTCTAGATTTATTGGAAGAATTTGTTTAAGTAACATTTTAAGAATGTCCAAACCAGGCATATTCTTCAAATGCAGCTTTAATTTTGAAGTCAATTTTCTGCAGTTCACAAAAGAACATACAGGAATCCAGCTGTGAAATTAAACTTGTAGTTAAGAGTTTTTGACCCTCTGAAATGTGATGTAAATAGAGTAAATCTATTACACAGGTGTATCTTTAAAAAGTTCAGCCAAAGAAGTATGCAAAAAAATTGAAGAAATTATTCCTGGGCACTTTAAAAGAAAGCTAAGGAATTCTATGAGGAAGCAGATGCAGAAGGTTATAAACAGATTAAGCGATGCAGGATTGTTTAAAGAGGATGCTTTAGTTCAAAATATCTAAGTCTATGTATACTTTATACGACCAATAAACAGATGTTTTTTTTATTTGATTATACTATATTTCTAATCTCACAATTCTTAATTTGTTTATTTTTCAGTGTGAGACTGAAACAAATTGTTGTCTTGACGGTGGATGGAAAGTTCCCAAATTCAGGCAGATCTCGGAATGGAAAAGGCAAACAGAGATGAAGAGTTTTCCCACGTGAAAGGGAAAAATTAGAGGATCTACTTACAAAGAAAAATAATCACAGATTACTGAGAGAATATAAGCAGCAAACACAATGATTCAGACAGAACATAGTTCAGCTAACGATCAACTATGTTTTATTGTGAATATTCTTATAAAAGCTGGACAATAAAAACACCGGAAATAAAGATGGGACAAAGAATGCTGCTTCTCCTAATGGCTTAGCTGAGAACTGTGCAAATACATAGCACAAATCACTTGGTGATTGCTGACTGACATTTGTTACAACGGCAGTGATAAATGTTCATGTTTCACTGTGCTTGTTTCTACTGTTACAGTAAGGCAGTAAGGCTTGAATTGTTTCCTCTTCAAGCGCTCTAAGACGCTACCCTGTGTGGAGAGCACTGTATATGTGCAAGTTGTTGAAGATGTTGTTGAGGAGGCAAATTCCAACTTGAAACTAGCTACCAACATAACAGTGATCAGTTTCAGACACAAGTAAGACCATTGGTCCATCTAGGCTACCCATTTGACCTTCCAAATTACATTTATATAGCGTCTTTCACATTGGGAGGACATCCCAAAGCACTGAAGACTAATGAACTCTCGGCTCGGCACAGTTTTGCGACCATGAAGTGAAAGTGAAGATGAGACCCAACTTCTATGCTTATACCACCTTGCAGACGAGATATGATTGTTTTCCCAATATCAGTCACTCTGCAACTGACTCTCATTGTGAATAGATCCGTACGCACAGCCTGCTCAACAACCATCAGTAAGAGGCAGTTTGATCATGAAACCACAGAAGAAAATTTAGGTCAAATATAACGGCTGTAATTTAATGGTTTAACCCCTAATTTACAACAACCATACAATTACACTTATAGAGCGCCTTTCACGTCTGGAGGACGTCCAAAGGTGCTGGACAGTCAGGGGTGAGGACCCGAGCATGGGGGAGGGGTGTGGTAGGGGTGAGGGAAGGCAGAGAGGTGGGAGGGCGACCGAAGGCACGATCGAAGAGGAGGGTCATGAGACCGGCCTTGAAGGAGGCAAGGAGGTAGTGAGGCGAAGGGACTGTGGGATGGAGTTCCAGAGTGTGGGGGCAGAGAGGCTGAAAGCCCGGCCACTGATGGTAGGGCGGGTCGGGCAGGAGACATGGAACAGACTGGAGCCCGCTGAACGGAGGGAGCGGGCAGGTTGGTAGGGAGTCAGCAGGTCAGAGAGGTAGGAGGGGGCAAGGCCATGGATGGCCTTGAAAGTGAGGACAAGGAGCTTGAATTCGATTCTCTGAGGGATGGGGCGCCAATGGAGTCGGCCGAGGGTGGGAGTGATGGGGTCACGGAGTCTGGTGCGTGAGTTTTGGATGATCTGCAGCTTGTGAAGGGAAGAGTTGGGAAGGCCGATGAGGAGGGCGTTTCTATAGTCAAGCCTTGATGTGACGAATGCGTGGGTGAGGGTTTCGGCAGGCTGAGGGATGAGGCAGTCTGGCAATGTTGCGGAGTAGGTGGTCATGGCGCGGATGTGGGGGAGAAAGGACAGTTCAGAGTCAAACAAGATACCCAGGTTCCTGACTGGCTTAGTGAGGTTGAGCGTGCAGCCATGGATGCTGATGCTGCCAATGCCCGAGGTGAGGAGACGCTAACGCAAGTCAATCAGGAGGGCCTCGGTCTTGCTGACGTTCAGCTGGAAAAAAGTTGTCCCTTGTCCAGAACTTGATGTCGGACAGGCATTTGGTCAGGACGCCAGTAGTCCTGGAGTTCAGGGTGGAGGGAGAGAGGTAGAGTTGGGTGTCATCCGCATATATGTGGAAATTTACCCCATGTCTGTGGATGATGTCACCAAGGGGGCGCATGTAGAGGGTGAAGAGGAGGAGACCGAGGACAGAGCCCTGAAGAACACCGCCTGAGACGGTGCGGGGGCTGGAGGGGAAACCGTTTGCTGAGACGAAGTGGAGGCGGTGTGAAAGGTAGGACCTGAATCAGTCAAGGACAGATCCTTGGAGGTTGAGGTGGGACGAGAGGCGGTGGAGGAGGATTGCATGGTCCACGGTGACAAAAGCGGCGGAGAGATCGAGGAGGACGAGGAGGCAGAGGGAGCTCTGGTCACACATGGTCAGGATGTCATTAGTGACCTTGACCAGAGCAGTTTGCGTGCTGTGGGCAGCACTTAACACACATATTTGTTTACAAACATGATATTCCTCTTGATGTTGTGCGATGAATGATTTGGGCACTTAAAATGTATTATTATTATTTAAAAGGCCAGGGTCATGCATCATCTGGGTCACTAAGTATGCCTCATATTTCATCCACTGAAAGTATGTTTAACCCACTACAGCTTCAAAAGGGAACAAAATTCAATTGCAGTTTCGTTTTTCAGCAACAGCCTTTTCTCCCATCACAACAATCACAACTTGCATTTATATAGTGTTCTTCACAAGGGTAGCTTTCCAGAGCGCTATCGTACAGAATGCAGCAGATTTTCCCCGATAAAGTCATCAATGGATTTCAGTGAGCTTTACCTTCTTGATATCTTAGAACACCTTAGTACTAGTTTCGACAACATGTCAATATTCACATTACCGTTCTCCTATAAACTTGGGCATAATTGTAGTTGTTTACTTTGAAAAGAGGATGTGATTCTTCTTTTTACCAATAATGATTCATTTGTGGTTTTGCACAACTCCACTGCCTTCCTTCATCTATCACATGGTGATGGATTGTTAGCATGTGTGGTGCTGACACTATATTTACCAAGTTCCGCATCTAGTGCTGCCTCAAACTCCAAATATTCAAACCATAATCCCTGTTTTTATTCCACCGCCAGCAAAAATTTACAAAATTACGCTTTTACACTGAACATGTGTAAATAATTGAACACTGGATGAAAAACAATATCTGTTTTTCCAATCTGGTTTTGTGTGTTCAACAACCTGGCGTCACCGGCCAGTTCGAGTTTCACAAAATTAGGGGGTTTAACAACAACAACAAAATTACAATTGTATAGCGCCTTTCACGTCAGGAGAACGTCCCATAGCACTGACAGGAATAACAGGATTCCTGGATTAACAGGATTAATAACAGGAAATAGTGCAGGACTTCAAGAGACAACAGTAAAGAAAATCGTCATTCTTGCAAACGGAAAGTTTGAATTCTAAGTTGCTTTTCAATTATATTACAATTGTTCTGAGATGTTACCAGTGAAGGGTGCTAGACAAGTGCAAGTTGTAGTTGTATGTTATATTCTCTCAGTAATTTAAGGAGAATCAATATGAGGGAAATATCGATGCATTCTGTAGGTGAACGCAGTAGCCAATTTTTGCTCACAGCAATGTCCCGCAAACAGCCATGAAGCAAACGACCAATTTTATTTAGGGGATTATTGGCCAGAATCCCAGGAGAAATTCCCTTCTCTTTTTGAGAAGTGCCATAGGATCTTTCACATCCATCTAAATAGGGATACAGAATGGATGGCCCCTCCAACAGTGACATCTCCAACCCCTTGCACCACATTGCAGTGTCAGCCTGGACTGTGTGATGTTACTTCTCTGATGTAAAAAAAGACAGAATACAATGGCTAAAAAGTTCTGAATACTATTTTTTATACACTAAGTATTTATTTGATACAGATCCAAACATCTGGTGGAAAATGCTGATACTGTACGTATTTTTGAAAAATAAATGTGAAAATCTAAATGAGAAGCACATGAAAAACAGTGAATCACTATGGAAGTGACTCAGTCATTACACACTTGTCTGGGTGAATGACTGACTATCAGTGGAGTTGAAGAAGCAGGAAAGGCAGGAAATAATCTAAAAATCTAATGAAAATGCTCAAGTGGAGACAAGGCAACACCCTAAAAAGGTCTATAGGAATTATTATAGTTATTGAGAAAGAATTAATTTAGCCTTACACTGACAGAGGAATTAGTGGATTCTATTCAACAGTGACCTGCTCCCTTATGGGAGTACAATGCAATGATTTTCTCCAGATTGAAGGAGTTCCAATGAATTTTTAATTTGTTTTGCTTCTCCGGAGGATTTGTGCAGATTATTTAACCAAACTTGTTGCAGGTCATGCTGTCGCTGTGTTCTGACATCTACGCAAAGGCCAATAGCAACAGCCAACAATATCCGGAAATCCTGTAAAATGCTTTTCTAAACACTGATCATATCATTTCATTTACGTTCGGATTAAATATTAATTTTCCGGTAATTAATGGCTGATGAATGGCATGACAGGTGCTGAAATGGAAAAGAAGATGAAAGAGGGGCACGATCCAGGTCATCGATGGTTCATTAACAGTGCTGTGTTCCGAGACGCTGTCCGGTGTGAAGGGCGCTATATAAATGCTAATTGATGTTGCTGGAAGCAAAGCAACTTAGTTTCCACCAGTTGAGAGTGGGAAGCTAGTGATTTATTCGTCGCACCCCATCCTACATCGCCTTTTGGTATTATTCGATTAATAAGATCAAAACTTGGTCCATTGAGGGTGAATGAACTGTTGTGGAAGCTTTGGAGCAATGGAACCAGTATAGATCCACTGCTGTATTTATCAAACCACCTCTTCACGGTGGTCTCAGAATTTGGCTCCAACAAGATTCATGCTGACTCACTCGATTTACATTGCACATTCAAATGCAGCTTAAAATGCTCAGAGGCTTATGTAACCTTGAAAAAAACAGGCGTGTTGACTTAGACTTGCACTGTGAATGAAGCACAAGCCCCAAGCAAGACCATTTACACGTGACCGGATTTACAATAAAAATAATAATCATTGCATTTGATATAGCGTCTTATCGCGTCTTCGAGACATCTCAGAGCGCTTCACAACATATACTGTAAAGTGAATTGACTGTGTATCCTCCCACCTAAACCTTCAAGGCACTGTCCTTGAATGGTTTAGGTCGTACCTTTCTCACCGTCTTCACTTTGTCTCAACGAATGGCTTCTCCTCCACCCCCCGTACTGTCTCATGTGGTGTCCCTCAGGGCTCTGTCCTTGGTCCCCTCCTCTTCACCCTCTATATGCTCCCCTCGGTGACATCATCCGCAGACATGGAGTTAACTTCCACATGTATGCGGATGACACCCAACTCTACCTTTCCTCCTCTACTCTCAACTCCACGACCACCGATGTCCTGACAGCTGCCTGTCCGACATCGAGTCCTGGACGAGAGACAACTTTCTTCAGCTCAACGTGCGAAAAACCGAGGCCCTCCTGATTGGCTCACGTCAGCGCCTCCGCACCTCAGGCGCTGACAGCATCAGCATCCAAGGCCGCACTCTCCACCTCTCAAAGCCAGTCAGGAACCTCGGCGTTTTGTTCGACCCTGAGCTGTCCTTTCTCCCTCACATCCGCACTACAACTGGCACCGCCTTCCATCACAGGGAGTCCTGTAGCTCAGTGGTTAGAGCACTCGCTTTGCAAGTGAGAGACCTGAGTTCAATCCCAGGCAGAGGGCGAAACCTTGGGCAAGTTTCCTTACTCCACACGGAGCCTAATAATAATCCCTCCAAAACCAAAAACAATAATAAATTGGTCATTTTCAATCTACGACTGTTTGTGGGACATTGCTGTGCGCAATTGGCTGCCGCGTTTGCCCACAAATATACAGTCAATTCACTTTACAGTGTGTTCTGTGAAGCGCTTTGGGACGTCCTCCTGACGTGAAAAGCGCTATATCAAATGCAAGGATTATTATTATTATTATTATTATTATCACCTTCGGAACATCGCCAGACTACGGCACTACCTCACCCCTCACGCTGCTGAAACCCTGGTCCACGCCTTTGTCACCTCAAGGCTGGACTATGGGAACTCTCTCCTCGCCGGCCTTCCCGCCACCTCCCTCCACACTGCAGGTCATTCAGAACTCTGCAGCTCGTGTACTGTCCCGCACCAGACTTCGGGACCACATCACTCCCACCCTCGCTCGCCTCCACTGGCTCCCCATCCCCCAGAGGGTTGATTTCAAGATCCTCATCCTCACCTACAAGGCCATTCACGGCCTCGCTCCCTCCTACCTCTCCAACCTACTATCCCCCTACCTACCTGCCCGTACCCTCCGTTCCTCTGGCTCCGGTCTGCTCCACGTCCCCCGCCCCAACCGCCCTACCATCGGTGGTCGGGCCTTCAGCCTCTCAGCCCCCAGGCTCTGGAACTCCATCCCCCAGTGCCTTCGCCTTGCTTCCTCCCTTTCCTCCTTCAAGGCCGGTCTCAAAACCTTTCTCTTTGACCGTGCCTTCAGCTCCCCTCTCGACTCTCTTCCCCCTCCTCGCTCCCTCCCTTCCCTTCCCTCACCCTGACCATTTCCCCCTCCTCGCTCCCTCCCTTCCCTCCCCTCACCCTGACCATTTCCCCCCTGCTCGGGTCATGACCCAACTGTGCAGCGCCTTGGGACGTCCTCCTGACGTGAAAGGCGCTCTATAAATGGAATCTTGTTGTTGTTGTTGTTGTTGTTGTATTTGTGGGCGAAACACAGCAACCAATTGCGCACAGCAGTGTCCCACAAACAGTCGTGGATTGAGTGACTAAATTATTTTATTATTTTTTCTTGAGGGATTATTATTATTATTATTCATACTGCGGCTTATGGCATCGATTCAAGACAGAACCCCCCCCCCCCTTAATAATGAATTTATAACCCACATTTGGGGGTTGGTTTGAATGTGAAAATCGCATCAATTGATGGTAAAAGTACAGTATAAATTGAAGACCCAGATTAAAATCCCAACCTTGACTAACATTCTAACCCAGGCAAACCTGAAGCAGTGAGTTGTTAATGCAGGTGCTTGAATGCTGCTTAACACGACACCAATTAAATTAAGCCTGCGTCCTATTTATGTCTGCACTCCATCATCAGAAACAGCAAATGGAGTACTGAAACCTCTAGGCTCTGCCACAGTGCAGTCACTTCTTTTCCTATCCCTCTGGCTTCAGCACTGAATTTTTCAGTGGTTTCATTCTTAATCAATACGTGGCAAATTTCCAAATTTAAACTGCAAGATAGACCTCACAGCATTGCCAAAAAGCAAGGCAACGATATAACAATAATTCTCGTATTTGATATAGCGCCTTATCGTGCCTTTGAGACGTCTCAAAGCGCTTCACAGAATATACTGTAAAGTGAATTGAGTGTATGTATTTTGTGGGCGAAATGTTTGCCTATTTATCTCATTACGTTTACCTTTGTTGCGCAAAAACTTTTACTGAGTATCTATCATTTCTGAACAAAATTATTTTTAGGTTTAGGGGCAGTCAGTGTCATGCAGTTTTGAATCATAAGTTTCCATTGGCACGCAGATTAATGTATATAGTATGGCCAGACCGGTAAATTACTATGCCTCTATTCACTGGGCCTCACAGATATAATTAAGCATTTGTTGAAGAGAAGAGTGGGTGAGTCAAGGCTCCAAAACCAAATGGCAGAGGCAACAATCACATATGATAATAAAAATCAGTATGTTTGAATAAGCAAGATATTTTTGATATTCTCGCCATGCGATTCTATCAGCTCTTCTAAAGTCTGGGCTAGGTTTGAAATGACAAGCCACATTCCACAGTAATGAATGTAACAGCACTGTTTGACATTTAAAGATCAGCAGCTCAACGAACATACAGTACTTACTCTCTGTTATCCCGTGCAGGCGGAGAGCTTTAAACAGCGCTAGGAACCTTTCTCCAATTTCCTTTTCCAAGAAGACACTTGTCTTCGGCAAACTGTAGGGAAGGAAAAGAGTCACGTAAAAACGTACGGTTAGCTTTTCCTTTCACCACACAAGAGAATTTTAATTTGACTTTTAATTTGACACCAGGGGAGATGGAGGGGGAGGTGTTCATAAAGGATTTTCAATGTTTCATACACAATTTGAGGGTAGGGATGTACGATATTTGAGCCAGCCAGTCATAAACCCTTCTCAAAATGTGATCATGTACATTTTGTTTATTAAAAGAATGTTTTCTTTCAAACCCAACTTCTTAACCATGACTTTGGTTCAGATCCTTAAATTCAAATTCCCCTGCTCCCGATGATCTCTGTGAACCACTTTGAGACAGTCATCTTGTGTGAATTTACTGATGAACCCAGCTGTTGAAGAGAGCCCATATATGTGGAAGATTTTACTGAAAACATTGGTTGGTCCAAGGTGTGAGCACAACTTTTTTTTATAAAAAAAATTAACGGGAGCGCTTCCCAGATTGAATTCAACAATTTACCAATATTCTGGGGACTCTAAAATGCTGCAGATTAAATTTAGCTTCAGGTGGAATTTCTCCCTTCAAATAAGTATCTTGGGTGCGTAGAAGGTGGTTTTGTGCTGCTATTAATGCTGCAGTGAATTAGCAATAATACAAGGAATTCATCCCCCCCCCACCCCGTGGCGTTATTTAGTATTGCAGCACTGTGCAATTTACAGAGAAATTAATACTCACCGTATGAATTTTCTACCCTTTGTTTATCAGAAAATGGTTCAACATTTATGCTTGCAGTACAAGTTTCTGGATGTCACAAATTCTGCCACAAGAATAACAACACTGCTGCATGGTGCAACATATTGATCTGCTATCAGGGTTACCAATTTCCCACTCCTATTTTCAACATGACAAACTAATTGCCAAAGTTGTTGGCAAAACAATTAAACTCACTAATGAAATGCTTGACCCGGGTCACATTGCAGTTTTTGCACATTAAAGCAGTCTGTGGACCTGTTGCCACCAGATGCATATTGTATATGTGAGTGCAAATATACACATACAGTATTTATTAAGTATTTATTAAGTGCACCACAGGAACAAACAGTCTGCTGGCTTAATGGCAAAATGAGATTCTCTTAATTGGTTAGATCACCAAAAGTTTGGGTTACGATCATTCAAAGTTAAGAAGCCAAACATTCATCCTTAATACATAGACAGACCTTGTCAAAATAATGTGCGTCAAGTCAAGCAGGAGAAAGATTGCAGTTTACACCAATTTGGGGTAAATTGTTATCAGGATATGCAGTACCATGGAATTTTACAGAGGTGTTACATGGTTTACTGGAACAAAGCACACACTTTTCTTAAAAGCTGATGCAGACAAAATTCTTGGCTTCTGACTTGACGTTGAGATTGTCCAAATGATATGATGAAGTCACTGAGATTTATGTTACTCGGAAATACAAAGTTATACTTTCAGTTACATGGAAATTCAAAGCTTACGCACATTCTCAAACTATTTCAAGATTTGAAATGTAATAATAATCCTTACATTTGGTACATATAGCGCCTCATCACGTCTGCAAAACGTCTCAAACCGCTTCACAGAATATACAGTAAAGTGAATTGACTGTGTATTTTGTGGGCAAGATGTACCCAGGTCAATAAGAACTTGCACGATTAGAGCAGCTTATCAGGTCAAAACATTTTAAAAAGCGTTTCACAAGTAATTCCCGTCAAATGCAGTGACTGCTTTTATAGACAAACAGAGCAGTTATTGTACCCGATATATCCCTCAAACAGCCATGAAATGAACGACTGATTTATGTGGCGATTTAGTGCAGGACAGAAGCAGGAAGGAGTTGGCCTCAAACTTTCATGGTTTAAGATTCAAGATTTACCACTTTGCAAATCTCACAATTTAATGTTTGCAATCAACGCAAACTAGTCCCCATTCTTAACCATATGATTCTTTACTATTCTGGTGAAGGCTAAAAGAATAATGCAGTGACAAATTTTACACGTCAGCAGAGCAGAGAAGGAACTGGAAGAACAAAACGCCAGAAGTTGTACAACTATGGGTTTTCTGAGCTCTGCTCTTAAATCCCATTATGCTTCCATAAAGTCCTTTTCAGGAAATCTTCACAGGAAGAAAACACGCCATTTATTTATGAACACTCTTCAAACTTGAGGTTCAGAGCTTCCTCCACTCAGCCTGGCTCAGTGGTAGCATTCTCACCCCTGAGTCAGAAAGTTATCGGCTCAAATCCCACATTGGGACTTGAAATCACATTGTCTAAGTCAAGATGACACTCCAATGCAATGCTGGGGGTGTGTTTGGTTGTCAGAGGTACCGTTCTTCAGATGAGACACTAAACCGAGGTCCCATCTGCCCGTTCAGGCGAACGTTAATGATCCCATGGCACTATTTGAAAAGAGAAGGGAGTTCTTCAGCGTCCTGGCCAACAAACCCCCAAATAAAATGTGTCACTCGCTCCATGGCTGTTTGTGGGAAACTACTGGCTGCCGTGTTTCACCCACAAAATACACAGTCAATCCACCTTGCAGTACATCCTGTGGAGCAATTTAAGACTTCTCAATGTCGTGGTAAGACACTATATAATAATATCAAATGCCAGGACTATTATTTATCCTGGTCATTTTTTCATGTACACAAACATTTTTAGCAGCAATCAAACATATGAGGCTTTTGTTTACAGATGAAAGAAAAAAGGGTACATGATCCCCTCTTCCTGCACCCCACCCCACCCCACCCCTCCCTCAGATATTCCAGTACTGTTAGCATAAGGCTATTTTTAAATCAAGTGGTTACAGCTGTATAAGCAACAATCTGGTATAATCTGCATTAAATGTTTCTTTAAAAAAAGAATTGATGCAATCAACAGCATTTGTCCATAGAATGCTTGGGGACTTTCCATATTTCATACAAAATTAATCTCTAAATCAAGAACTAAACTATTTCTTTGAAGTTAGTTTTCCCATACAAAGGAAAACAGATAGTGTTTCACTTGTAAGATAACATTTTTTGCTTCCATTTCTTAAATCTCTGAGGTCCAGTGAAACCATTAATTTTTCTTTCATTAACCGAGAGTATTAATTACTATTTCTCTGCATCAAGGAAATACCAAGAAGGATAAAACTGCTGCAAAACATCTCGTTTAAAAACTGTGCAGTATATCAATTGTGCATAATTTGGCACAAAGATTCTAAACTAATCGCAATCCTTGCATGATTAATCACAAGTCTTGCATGATTAACAGGAACCTAGTGAGAAGAATCACTACCACCAGGTTTTATTTGGATCAGCCGGGTGGGTGTCTGAGACATACAGAAACTTATCAGCAAACTAAACTGAAAGTTTAATACATTCCACCTTTTCATGGAGATTCAGGAGAATGGGGTGGAATAGAATTGAACATGTTTACAAATGCAAACAAGCGTTTTTACGTAATCTCTCCCTTCATTAAGTGTTCCCGCTCCCCCGTAAATAGTAACTTTAATTTTGAAGTCTCTCATGTTGCTTCATTTGATGTATTTTGTTTCTTGCTCAACTTTAATTAAGCCTCAAGCCTGGGAGTTACCAATAAAACATTAATGCACTCTGTCATGAAAATTCAGCAATACTTATTTCCATGATGTGAAAGGACAAACTTCTGTTTCTCAACAGCTCTGCCTCAACTTCCTACAATTACAAGGTTGTCTCAGGTCACTATCATTGTGAACTACAATAATGAATATACCACGCCTGATATATTATTGAAGCCGAGGGAGGAATTATTGACTGATATCGTAGAGAAAGAGCTGCTTATTATACTTCATACAACACAAATACTATAGCTGGACCTTCACATGAGGGAGAGGGGAATAGAAAGGTATGGGAGGGAGTAAGGAATGGGTGAAGACTTGTGTGGAGAATAAACCCTGGCAATGACTGGTTGGGCCAATTGGCCTGTTTCCATGCTGTATATTTTTTGTAGATAACCTGGCAATATTTTCTTGAATCTAGAATGTCTAACTCCACTGTATAATTTAGGAATAAACTGAACAGCATTTTATTTCCAAAAAAATGTTTACTGTTTAGCAGTATGATGTCTGCGGTTTCTGTTCCCTGCCTTGACCTCCAGTAAATATTTGCAAAAACACCAGATCATTTTCAATTTCCTCTGGGAATCTCAGAAGATTTCACGAGACTGGTAGGAAAAATAAACCCCCAAATCATATGATGCTGTCCTCATTTCCTATCTGACTGGTCAGCTGCTATATCCCAAATTCAATCCTTGTAAACTACCCACAAATAGTTTGGACGCAGTTAGAAAATAGCACTCCGTAGTTATTGCATAACAAGTAAAGCAGTAAAGTAATCACCTGATAAAATACGTTAAGATGCCGTTGTATGATGGCATTATCCGTACCTTGGGGTTCATCTGAAGGAAAATCCAGCAGAGGACAGTTTGTAGGACATGGTATTCACTAAAAGTGAACAATCTACAACAGCAGAACAAACCAATGTCAAATTCCAACAAATACAATCCAACCAAATAAAGGAGATCGGAATTATCTTAATCCTAAATGTTACAAAAGGGAACTAGCTTATGACATTCTTTGTCTCTCTCTGTGCTTTAAAATTCATATTTTNATTTTTGATCATGCTTTCAGTCACCCTTCTCCCCCCTGACCCCAGCTCGGGTCTGAAATGCTGTACACGCCAGCACCTTGGGACGTCCTCCCGACGTGAAAGGCGCTCCACCACCCTACCCACCCAGCAGATTGGGCTCCAGAAGTGAAAGGCGCTGCACAGATGTCAGTTGTCCTTGTTTTATGCTTCAATATAACTGAGGATCGGAGACAATCTGAGAACACACAAGACATGCTCAACCAGCCCTTCTGAGGCAATGTGAATGAGCGATCCATAGCTTTAGCATTAGACTGCTTCGGAAGAGTATAGGTTACTATCATACCGTTAGACAATGTTGATTATGCATTCTGAGGAGATAGATAGTATTTGTGGACATATTATTAGAGCTATGGTATTATTTCACGTAACTGAATTGTTCTTATGACGCCAAGTGGATTGCTGACCTGGGCGATAGCAATATTTTATGCAGGAAATCCAATTGTAGGTCACGGAAATTGGCCTCATATCTGAGATGCACAGTAAGGTTTAACTCCAGCCACCTCTCACAGTCGTGCATTAGAAGGTCCAGGTTGTACTGAATCAGAGAGAGAAGAAATGAGAGCTGACTTCAAGGGAACTCATAAAGCAAGAGCTCCACCCAGTGCTCTGACAGAAATGCGCACTCACTAATAATAATAATAATCCTTGCATTTGATATAGCGCTTTTCACGTCTGGAGGACGTCCCAAAGCGCTTCACAGAACACACTGTAAAGTGAATTGACTGTATATTTGTGGGCGAACGCGGCAGCCAATTGCGCACAGCAATGTCCCACAAACAGTTGTAGATTGAAAATGACCAATTTATTATTGTTTTTGGTTTTGGAGGGATTATTATTAGGCTCTGTGTGGAATAAGGAAACTTGCCCAAGGTTTCGCCCTCTGCCTGGAATTGAACTCAGGTCTCTCACTTGCAAAGCGAGTGCTCTAACCACTGAGCTACAGGACTCCACAAAGTTAATCACTGCAATTTGCTGTCAATAATTCAGTGGACTTCATATTTCATACTTCAGGCTCTACCTCACTTTCAGCCGAGCCGGTAAAAAAAAAAATCACTTGATTTTGATCATGGTGATTGTGCAATCTACCAAACAATGTTTGAGTTCAACAAAAAATCAGCATCGCTTCATTCACTTTCTATCAATTTTGGTTCAAAGTTCCCAAGGGCTCGAAATTCCACTCACTCTTAGCCTGTACACGAACATTTTGTTCTTCAAATTTAAGATTGGCAGGATTGTGAAAAGTTCTTTACCTCAGTCCTAATTTCGAAACTTTTCAGTTTTTAATAAAAAAGGCTTTCAAATTAAGACTGAAGTGAAGAATTGTCCACATTTCTGCATGACCTTCAATTTGAAGGCAAAATTTGCCTGCTATGTTTATAATGCACGGATGCAAATTACATTACTCCAGGAACTTCCTTCTGGTAACATTCGATGTTGTGCATTAAATATGTAGTGTGAAAGAACCTCAACATCATCCTGAAAACAGGCCCTTAATTCTCTAATCAGATCTGAGTTCTTTTGTTTTAACATAAATATCCCTAGTCTAAGCCCTTAAAATGTTTTTTGGCTTAAGACTTAAGATGCATCGCATAAATATTCTACATTGAAGCAATGTGGAGAGCAAAGTTATAACATATTTCTGGAGACTTCAAGGAGGTTCAAAGGTACTTTCAGTCCCTTACCTTGAGGGCAGCTGTAAGAAAATGGCATACAGTGGTGGAATTTATGTTATTCATCATGACGGAGACACACCTGCCAGAATAAAACATATTTCTTTCATAAAAAGTTGATCCATCCGATAGTATCAAACTATATCATGATAATTGTTAAAAGAAAAAAACTTTACATTACTATTCACTTGTGAAATGTAGCTCCCTTGATACAACCATGGGGAAATAATTTGTTTTTTTTCACAGTGGGGAGAGGGAATTCACAAAACTAAATACCCACAAACTAAATGCATTGCTTGGTGTTGTGGCTTCTGTTGAGCGAATATCAGCTCATTAGCTTCCATTGTGAGATTCTCAAACTGCAATTTGATGTCACTGTCCGTTTCTCAGACTTTATCAATTAAGAAGCTCTCGCTCCCTTGAGAAATCCTCGACTGTGACAGATTTTGCAAGATGAGCCAGGAAATTAGACATTGTTCAAAGTTTTCCGTGCAACTGATATGTACTTACTTTTGAAACAGAGTTGGAAATTTCAGAATTGAAGCAGCAGTCAGGACACTCACAGCATATTTCACATCCACTTCTAGTTCAGCATTGTACAAGTTTCCCAAAGCAACAGCAAATGCTATACCAACAAAATATAAAATGCTAGAACATAACACAGGTTCAGTATACAAACATAACAGTATTTCAGTCACATTCTTGGGAAATATGGTCTCCGCTCAACAGGTGCATTGTGTGCAGCATGGATCGTTGTACAAGGTTTGGCAAGTATAATTAATAATGATTAATTATATGAATTAATATAATTATTATAACAATAGTAAGCCTCTACCAGCTCCAAATAGATTAGTTAAACTGAGAGAGTAATGTCTCTCAGCAAAATACCATAATGCTTAATGATTACCTTCTTTAGTAATATGCTGATCTTCAATATCAAGCTTTATGTTCACCATATTCTTCAGCTGTTTCAATGAAATATTTGACTGTGGCTTGAGGACCCACTGGGCAGATTGTGTCCTTTGGTTGCAGTGAACAGAAGTTTGGGACTTGCGGGTTTGGAGTGGACAACTTTTATCTTCTGAATTGCAATAAAATAAACTCCCTGTACATAAACAAAAAAAAGTATAGCAGCAGCTAAATTAGACCTATAAAAAATGAAAGGTAATCATATTGAGAAGATACGTGAACACACTGTTGATTCCTTCAAACACAGATTAGATAGTTTTCTTTTAGGAAATAACATTATGGGATATAGTACATAGATAGTTCGCGGCATATGCGCCAGGAAGGTGGAGGGTATGAACTAGATGGACCTTAGTCTTTTTTCATCTAACATTGGTTATGTTTTTATGTTCTTATACTGACTGATCTACCTAATGAATGATTAAAGGATTGTCTTCATTGACCTACCTTTTTGATGAATGTCTGTTGTATTTTTGGCAATGTTCCTGCAAATTTTATTTTTCGACTCATCGGCAGTAGTTAGTAGTTCTAGCAGCAGTTTTGATTTTAACAAATATTGACTGTGTAGCTCCCAGAAGGAGTCTAGACATTGTAAGACGACATCTGTTGAAAGAACCGCAGAATTATGCTGAAAGAAACATTTATTACGCCAGCAATGAACTCACTGCCTGCAATTTCGATTTAAGTGACATAAATAGTGGTATGACATAATGTGAAGTTCATTTCCTGGACATCAGTGGTGGATTTAGATTTTTCCAAAGGTGGATGTTATTTATTTATCATTACTAAAAAGGCCAAGTAGAATGCTAGTTGACCCTGAAATTATTCAGCCTTTCCCGAATGACTCAGAACAACAAATGTTTCCATGGACAACTGCAATTTTTCCTTTCCTTAACAATGTGTCACTTTTTGTTTAAATTAAGTGACCAATGCCATAATCTTGGTTTTCTATACTATTAGAACCCTGAACATTATCCAATCCCAATTTAGTAGTATTTTCTACTATTTTACACAAATGAGAATATATATATGGTTGTCATTCCTAAATACACTTTTATTATGATTATAGGTGACAACGTCTATCTTTGCAGTACAACATACAGACACTAACCTGGATTCTTGTCTTCTGTCACCTTACTTGAATAGCAATATATGAGGTCCTTTCTTATAAAGGATTCAGACACATTAAAACTAACAAAGAAACAGAAGTTATTCAAAGTTGATGAAGGCTCTTACTAATTGCCCTGCAACAAAGACATTCACACTGAAACCTGACACAGAAAACTTATTTTTGCAGTCCATGCATCATACTCAAATGGAGAAAAATTTTGAATATCATGAGTCTTTTAGACAACACTTAAGTATAACACTAGAATTCTCCACTTCCTCTTATCCACAAAAATACCTCCAAAATAACCTACATCAGTTCTCTTCAATCACCAAAAGCATTTATGCAACATACCCTCAATATACATAATTACCACATTTTAAAGACTGAATATTCATATTTTGTTTAGATATATGAACTGAATACATTCGTGAAATTACAATTTATCAAATTACATGCAGTTCTAATGTCGCTGAAGCTTGTGAAGCCAGATTTTGATATCTTTAATCTCTTTTTTTCAAAAAAATGCAGGTACTTAACTATTGGTTCATTGCTTTTTGACCTCTACACTTTTGTATGTTGCTTTGCAGGAGAACAATTTTATGAATTAGAAAAAAAAACCTCCAACTTGCTGTGTTCTTACCTCTTTCTAGAGAAGATTGGTTCAAGAGTACTGTCAGATTTAGATTTAGACGTAGGATAGCACTTTGGAAGATAGGGCATACAGGTGGGAATATGAGATGGAGAAGCACACCTATCACTGTATTTGTACCAGCTGGAAATTGGGACATCAGCTACAAATAAAAAAAAATGCTTAATTGCATTGGTCACAATGTTGTACAGCACGTATTAATCGATTAACTTCTGCACGTTTGACAGAGAATGTCTCCGCCTGACATACTCTCTCCTGCGACTGGATAACATTGTTTGATGCCCAACGTATTCCAGATACTTTCCATGTTAATGTACTTCTATTTGACATTACACTTTGCAACAACAGCAACGAACTTCGACAGCGCCCTTCACACATCGCAGAGGGCTTATTGTTTGCATATAGTGTATTATAGACTGTGGCGTCCTGTAGTTCAGTGGTTAGCGCACTCGCCTCACAAGCGAGAGACCTGGGTTCGATTCCCAGCAAGGCAAAATATTGGGCAAGTTTTCTTACTCCACACCCCCTCTGTTTACCCAGCAGTAAATAGGAACCTGGTTGTTAGTCGATTGGCGGATAGCTTTTCGGGGGTAATAATTCCTTCAAAAAAAATAATAATAAATAAATTGGTCACTTTTTATCCACATCTGATTGTGGGACACTGCTGTGCGCAATTGGCTGCTGCTTTTCGCCCACAAAATATACAGTTAATTCACTTATGAAGCGCATTGAGACGTCTCGAAGACGTGATAAGGCACTATATCAAATGCAAATATTATTATTATTATTATAAAGCCACAGCAGTCCACAACATGATTCTGGACATAAACATCAAGTGGTTTGTTAGTTCTAAGCACTCCTTGATGTTGCTCTTGTTAATCTTTCAATATGAAATGCACTAAATAAATATACGTTGTAACTATTGTTGGTTTAGGACAGAACCATGGCTCTTTTTAATTAATGATATTCCTTTAATAAGTGGCAGATCATGATCTGAATGCAGAATATGACAAGACTGCAAATTACTTCTAGTGAAATGATGTACTCTAATGAGACATCTATAAATGTGCATCCGAGATTAATCGACCTATAAATGTATATTATGTGTCACATAAATGACAGTAGAAAAACAAACAAAAACTTAACCATATAGAGAATACGTGAGATTATTAAATAATAATAATAATAATCCTTGCATTTGATATAGCGCTTTTCACGTCGAGAGGACGTCCCAAAGCGCTTCACAAAACACACTGTAAAGTGAATTGACTGTATATTTGTGGGCGAACGCGGCAGTCAATTGCGCACAGCAGCGTCCCACAAACAAGCGTGGATTGAAACTGACCAATTTATTATTGTTTTTGGTTTTGGAGGATTATTATTAGGCTCTGTGTGGAGTAAGGAAACTTGCCCAAGGTTTCACCCTCTGCCTGGAATTGAACTCAGGTCTCTCGCTTGCAAAGCGAGTGCTCTAACCACTGAGCTACAGGACTCCACTAAATGTTTCAGCACCACATTCACTTTTAATCAGCTTTAATGAATCTATCAATGATTTCACAACTTTTTCTTGAATACAGTAAAATGTTTCAGACTAAAAGGATCCCATCCCATTATTACCTGTCAATATTCTTTGCAATGACTCATTGAAGCAAACTTGGATAGCTTTAATAGCCTGGGTTCGCCCCATCATATCAGACCCCAGAGGTGCTGGTATGCGCCAGCGATTTGTGATGCCTGCTTGATTGCGTGTTGATTTTCTATCAACATTCACACTCTGGACAACAGGGAAAAGTACAATAAATAAAATTCACCATTTTCACATTCATATAACAATCCTTGCATTTATACAACAGCTTTCACAAAAGGAGGATGTCCCACAACCTCTGCTGGCTGGACACCTGAGCTTGGGGAAGGTGGAAGCCGAAAGGTTTATTCAAGCGAAAATGACTACACTAAATGATACTAACAAACCTCACTGTTATTTTTCTGGGATCCCAAAGCCTTTCTATTTTAAACTGACCAGATAAGAACTTGCTAGTCGAAAGAAGAACAAGGTCCATCCAGTTTGCCTTCTACCATCCTGGCAGTCGCTTAACTTGTCGTGTTCCAAACTATTTACTGAATCCCAAGATATTGTTTCTAACAGAAATCAATTCTAATTTGTTCTGGAAAGAATCGAAACTTTCTGCTTCCACTCTCTCCCTAGGGAGCCTGTTCCATACATTTAAATATAAACCAATATGCTTCACAAGTCACATGAATACATACCTGCTCTTCACATTGGAACGGGTTTCCTTGTGGAATATCTGATAAGGCTACATAACTGGGTGCCATCAAGGTCCTGCAACAGCAAACACATTCATCTGCAATTTGTATCTTATAATTTTAAAACATGTTTGTTCAAAGTCTGATTTCTTCAAGGTCTTTTCATCTTGAAAGCATCGACAACAACAACAACAACAACAAGATTCCATTTATAGAGCGCTTTTCACGTCGGGAGGACGTCCCAAGGTGCTGGACAGTTGGGTCGGGACCCGAGCAGTGGGGGGAAATGGTCAGGGTGAGGGGAGGGAAGGGAGGGAGCGAGGAGGGGTAGAGAGTCGAGAGGGGAGCTGAAGGCACGGCTGAAGAGAAAGGTCTTGAGACCGGCCTTGAAGGAGGAAAGGGAGGAAGCGGCGAAGGCACTGGGGATAGAGTTCCAGAGCCTCGGGGCTGAGAGGCTGAAGGCCCGACCACCGATGGTAGGGCGGTTGGTTCGGGGGATGTGGAGCAGACCGGCGTCAGAGGAACGGAGGGTACGGGTAGGTGGGTAGGGGGATAGTAGGTCGGAGAGGTGAACATACGTCAAAGGAAAACTTGATGCATAATTGAGGGAACAGAACGATACGGAAGAGGGGATGAGGAGGGGTGGGGGTTCATGGGGAGTATAAATACCAACACATCGTTTCATCCTGCATTTGTTATGTCGGCTGTAGCTCATTATTATCACAGAATCATAGGATTATACAGCAGAGAAGACTCTTTGAAAAGAGCTACCCAAATCAATCCCACTCCCCCCCGCGCTCTCTCCCCATAGCCCCGAAAATGCGTCCTCCCCAAATAACGATCTACGTCTCTCGCAAAGGTTGTTAGCGACAAATTACTATTATGATGTATCACAGTTATGATATTATTATTATTATTATTAACTAGACCGACCCCCTTTCGCCGCAAAGACTCCACGGTGTAAGGCAGCGGATTGACCTACTTTGCCCGTTTGTTGGTCGTCTTGCGATTGGCAGGAATGGGGTTTGGACGGTAACCCAACTCCGCCTCTGGAGGCTCCTCAAGTCTCGCACAAGCATCGGGGAAGGCGCTGTCCACAATCCGGGCCATGTCACTGCCTTTCTCTCTCTCTCCCTCTCTCTCTCTTTCTCTCCCTCTCTCCTCTCTCTCTCTCCCTCTCTCTCTCTCCCTCTCTTCTCTCTCTCTCTCTCTCTCCCTCTCTCTCTCCTCTCTTTCTCTCTCTCTCTCTCTCTCTCCCTCTCTTTCTCTCTCTCTCTCTCTCTCCTTCTCTTTCCCTCTCTCTCTCTCCCTCTTTACCTCCTGGTGTCCCAGAGAAATGTTATGCTCTCGGGCTTTTTTTTTTGTGGGTGTGTGTGTGGGTGTGTGTGTGGGTGTGTGTGTGGGTGTGTGTGTGTGTGTGGGGGGGAAAGGAAATCTCTCTCTCCTCTGAGCGCAGGGAGTCAGCCAACTCCCCCCCAACCCCCACCCCCACCCCCCCCCACCAGCACCGCTCTCCCCTCCCCCTCCCCCTCCCTCCCTGTCAGCAGCTGATCCAACACTCCTGGAGCTGCTGCGGGTCACAGCCGTCACCATGGAGACGAGGGACGCGGTCTCCAGGGCAACCCAAGGGCGCCACGTTCACACCTGAGGGAGAGCACCGGCCCCGACCCCTGACCCCTGACCCCTGACCCCTGTCCCTGACCCCCGACCCTGACCCCCGACCCTGTCCCTGTCCCTGACCCCCGACCCTGACCCCGACCCCACCCCCCCACTCCACCCCCACACCCCCTCCACACCCCTCCACCCCCACCCCCTCCACACCCCTCCACCCCCTCCACACCCCTCCACCCCCTCCACACCCCCTCCACCCCCCCCACCCCCACCCCCCCACCCCCCCACACTCCACCCCCCCCACACCCCACCCCCCAAACCCCACACCCCACCCACCTCCACACACCCACACCCCCCACACCCCACCCCCCACCCCCCAAAATCCCACCCCACCCCCACCCCACATCCCACCCACCTCCACACACCCACACCCCCACCCAACCCCCCCCCCAACCCCCAAAATCCCACCCCCACCCCACATCCCACCCCCCCCCCCCATCCCCCCAAAAAATTAAAACAGAACGTGCTTCTTGTTTTTTTAATCAGCTTTGTGGACACTGGCACTGGATGTTTTTGCAGCCAATCTCAGCGAAACCCAAGTCCTCCACACTCTGCGTACGTTATTTCCTGGCGCTTACTGCTACACACTGCAGAGAAGTCAGTGTGAACAACTTAGAAAACTCCCATCGCGGTTACAAAATGCCTTTCGGTTTCTTTACCCTTCCCCCCCACCCCCCACCCCATACCCCGGCCCCCACCCCACCTCCACCTCCACCACCGCCTCCCCATTCTGGGACTCGTGATTTTATTCCTTAAATAATAATAATAATAATAATCTTTGCATTTGATATGGCGCTTTACACCCTGAGGCTTGAAATTCCACCCAGTCTCAGCTTGTGTCTGGAATTTCAAGCCTCCTATACCCTTGCATCTTGTGTTCAAAAACATGAGTGACATCAACGTCTTTACACCAGACATTCAATTAAACAGCAGCAAGGGTATTAAATTAATAGCATTACACTGCATTATGCATATATATATATATGTGTGTGTGTGTGAGTGTGAAATAAGTAATGTTGCAAGGCGGCATTCGCTCGCAAAGGAAACACGGTGGAATATTAATGTAAATAACATCCTTTGCAATAACGTGTTAAGAAGACTGAAACACAACTATAATATTATTAATAATCCTTGCATTTGATATTGCGCTTTTCACGTCTTCTCGACATCTCAAAGCGCTTCACAGAATAGACCTCAAAGTGAATTGACCGTATATTTGTGGGTTTTGAGATTCCAACTGTAAACACTAATGATACAGTTTGCATAACAAGACAAGATGGTCTTCATCCAGGTTCGGGACCTCACCCAGGCTAACACAATCCAGCAAGTGTGTGTTCCAAAAAAGAGAGAGATATGACTACACAGTGGAGTTGGGTGCAGCTCCAACCGGGATTTCCGACTGTGTTGCTGTAGGATCTCAGATGGCAGGAAAGAGCAGCAGGCGGCCCAACAGGACTGTCCCCAGCACCAGGAGATGGTGGGGCACCATCATGTTCCTCGACCCCCCGCTCTTCTCATTGCACTCGTTGGAGAAACAGCAGCGGACGCTCACCCCAGGGGCCTTCGACCTATCCTTGTGTGCTCTGTCACAGAACGACTTGTACGAGCATGATTTTATAACACCACCTAAAGATGGAGAGTAACGCAGAACTGACAACGATCTTACCAGTGTTCCTACAACTCTCCCACTCCCCACCCACCCCACCACTACCAAACACTCAGCCATAATATATCATCTTTAAAATCAGCAATTGTGCAACTTGGTAAGTTACAGAATATACACAGAAAACTAGTGAAGGAGGGAATAATGATACTGGTACTGAGTTCAACCACAAGCAAGTGCCTTAAAACAGTTTAGTTCCTCGCCCGAGCATTTCTTTTTAACCCATTGGAGTTTCAAATGCAAATTATAAAAGCACTTTTTTTTTACAGGTGCAAAAGAGAGAAATCCCATATGCATGAGAAAAAAAATCTCATAGTTTTCATAATTGGATATAAATTTGCTCAGTATGTTTCAAAATGACAGCTGCTGTTCAGCATTTACTGAAATATACGTAAATCTACATACAACTGTACTGAACCACACAACAACAACTTACATTTATTTTATATAGTGCCCTTTCCATAGGATAAGATCTCGAAGCTCAAGCTATGGTTGTTTTAGAAGGGATCAGGAGGGTAAGTATTTAATATATACATTTAAGGTGTGGATTAATATTTCAATATAATTTATCTAATAAGAGTAACCATAAATCTTTCCTAAACTCTGATTAATTACATTTTATGTATCCATTGGCTATTAAAGACACTGCCTTTTACTTTACAGGAGTCCTGTAGCTCAGTGGTTAGAGCACTCGCCTCGCAAGCGAGTGACCTGGGTTCGATTCCCAGGCAGGGCAAAATATTGGCCAAGTTTCCTTACTCTACACACCTCGGTTTACCTAGCAGTAAGTAGCAATCCGGTTGTTAGTCGATTGGTGGATCGCTTTTCCGAGGGTAATAATTCCTTCAAAAAAAATTTGGTCACTTCAATCCACGACTGTTTGTGGGACACTGCTGTGTGCAATTGGCTGCTGCATTTCGCCCCCAAAATATACAGTCAATTCACTTTACAGTATATTGTGAAGCGCTTTGAGACGTATCGAAGACGTGATAAGGTGCTACATCAAATGCAAGGATTATTATTATTTTCTGAAAACCAACATGCTATCCTCCTAACTCTGTGGTTGGCGCTGTTGCTGGGCATATTTCAACAGCTTTTGAATAAGATTTACATCCCCAGGGGTTGATTAGCAAAGTATACATGAAAATTATTAAGTCCAATTAATGTCAGTTGGGACAACCATACTACTGACATTACAATGATTTTTCATAGTAATATTAATCCTTGTATTTGATTTAGCACCTTTCATATCAAGGACATCAAGATATGCTGTTAAGTGTAGTGACTGTATTTTTGTAAGGGTAACAGAAAAAGTGTCAGTGTCAAAAGAATTCCAACTCAGAACCGTTTTATGTGCGCGTATTGCTTCCATTGATGGCTTACTTGACTGTCCTTTCATGATGGCACAAGCATCCGAATAATTCGGACATTTGTGAACTCCTTGTTTGTTGCAATCTTCATCACCAGAACCAACACAAGTGTAACAGCGTAGAGCATCACCTATTAAGAAGAGCACAGCAATAATTCCCAGGACAAACATCTCACTTTTTAACCATGATTTTGCGGCTAGATGTGTTGCAACACGCAATTTAATTCCCGCACAGGATTAACAAAATCTCAACATAAAAATTAACAGTCCAATTGAGATACTCGTTCTTCCCTTCTAATTTACAGCTTTCTACCTGTTGGCAAAAAAACTTTCTGTAGAATATATAACACCGCATTTACCTCTGTTGCTTTTAAATTGCTCAATTGCTTGAATTCTTTTAATTTGTAGATGTACAGTTTCGGAAAAAAATGTACATCTAAAATTGTTCGTAAATATTATGGCTTATTTCTGTGACAAAAAAGGCACAGAAATAAGACACTATATGTATATGCTGTAAGAAGATTACATGACAGTAACATATCCAGGGTATGAGATAACACAAGGTCCTCAAGCATTTTAATCTACAAATCTCAACTGAACTCTCCTCTCCCCGTTTACACTCCAATTCATGTAAATCAACAATCTTCACCAATGTTTAATGGTTCTTATCCCTATTATAATCATAACATTTGGCAATAATTTTAATACAAGAGGCACAAATAAATAACTCGCATGAGACATTTATTTTAGTGAGTAGCATTTGCAATTTATTTTTCCCCGAATAAACAGCCTTCCACAAATTTGTGACTTTCAAAATGTGTTGCTTTCAATTTAATAGAAAAATTAAATAGAAAAAAAAACACTTACCGTTCATTAACAATGAGCAAAAAAGTAGCAAACTTAGGAGCATCTTCAACATGTTGATGGTCAGATGTGCTGGTAGTCAATGACAGCAGTTTGTATTAAAGTATTAACACTAATCTCTACTGTTTACATGTTAATTCTCGCACAGATGATGCTTTTGGGACATGCTTAAATTTACAAACCAGCGATAATCCAGATCACATGAACAGACAACTACCAATGCAACCACGTCCATTGGACTTTATTTATGGAAACCTTATGGAGAAGTGCTTCATAGCTCGATATGCCATCTGGCTAAGTATCTGCTTGGGAAGAGAATTGAAGAGTAGATGCAGAACCAATATCCCGATAAGCCTCAGTGTTTTCTGTGTTGGAGGGCCAGGGAATGGGGAGAAGAGAATGGGAGTGAATAGAGGGAGGGAATTCAGAATTGTATTATGCAGGAAGATCAGGGTTTTCATGTTCCTACTTCCCCACAATTTTTCCTGACTACAGTATTTCCTAAATCTAGTGAAAAAAAATGGTATTACTAGAAGTTCACAACAGGAATGTATCTATAGCCCACAATAAATGTACTGAATCAGGTCCTATAAATGAGGAACTGGGAGCAACTCTTCCACTTCTCATATAGAAGGATGTGGGAAATAAAAAACATTTATTGAGTGCCGCTGTATAAAATTAAAATTTGCGGAATATTATTTTGTCAACGTTTTCTGAAAAAATGCAACAAATTTCACCCACAATATACACAGCGATTACACTTTACAGTATATTCTGTGAAGCGCTTTCAGACATCTCGACAACTTGATGCAAATGCAATGGTTATTATTATCTTTTAAAAGCTAAACCCACTTTCAGAACTTAAAGGTAATGAACGCTGGCTATCTTTTGATCTCGTAGTTTATTGAAATCACATCACCCTGGAGCGTTAGGCTACTTCCTACTCTTCAGGGGCAGAATTATCCCTCATAACAAAATGGGGGAGATTTCTGCCCGAGATATTGTGACATTTATCTTGGTTAAAAATATCTCCCAAGGCTGAGTCTTATGTATACTTTCCCCTATTATAGTATAATAATGATCCTTGCATTTGATATAGCACTTTAACGCATCTTTGAGATGTCTCAAAGCGCTTCACAGAAGCATTTATTTATTATTTATTATTTCCGGGGTAACAATCCCGTAAAAATAAATAATTAAATAATTTAGTCACTCAATCCACGACTGTTTGTGGGACACTGCTGTGCGCAATCGGCTTTTCGCCCACAAAATATACAGTCAATTCACTTTACCATATATCCTGTGATGCGCTTTGAGACGTCTCAGTAAAGTGATAAGGCGATATATCAAATGCAAGGATTATCATCATTTTATTTCGACTGTAAAATGAATACAGGAGACAAAACAACCCAAAACATTACGCACAAACATAGAATTGTGGAGCTAATAAAGCTCGGTTGCATTTGTTGTACACAGTGCTGCCTGGAGCCCTGCTTCCTGCCTGCTGCTCCCGTCACTGCGACAGAAGGCTGCCCATTCTGAGTGCCGGCCGCGGTGGAAAGTGGCCATCTGCCCCCTGCTATTTGGTGAACGTGCTGCTGTGAGTCCACAGGAGCGGTTGAGGTGAAGTCAACAGATCTAAAGCACTATAGGTCTCGCAGACAGGCAGAGAAGTTAGGGATCAGCGACAGTGAAGTTGGTGGTTGGGGTCGGGGGCAAAGTTGACACCTGCAGAATCCACAGTCGATCAACCAAGAGATGTTGAGGGCCATTCAAAGCCATTCCACGAATCCAACATCTGGCAGGACAGGGAGCAACTACACATTCTCCACCTACTCTTGAGATCCAAACACCTGCTCTCACGTAGCCACTGGTAAGACCAACAGCTTTGCGCAAACCACAGTTCGGAATAAAATTATCAGTCGTTTTTTTTTAAAAAAACAACCATCAGCTGTGATTTTCAACCAAATTTATTTACAATATAGAGGAATTCATTGACAGACATGCATTTTTTTTTTTACAAATCCATAATGCAGATCAAGTCTACACTCTTAAGGCTTCACTGAAAATTGGCAAGAATTCCCTTGCAGTAATGTACAGTAACTTGTAACTCTGAAGACACAATACATGAGTACCCATTAAAAAGTGGCGGCAATATCTAATGCATCTCATCTAGCCATTAAAAGAACCAAACTCCCTGATACAGGAACTCGTATGTCAACAACTTGCCATGTGCCATACAACAATACAGCAGACAGTAAAAAGAAACTTCCACGGGCCATTTGAATGCTACATACATTAAACAGTCCTCATTGGAAAGAGAAATAGTGCATTAAAAATATGGTGAAAACCTTAATGTCCACATAGGTCAGCCAACATTACTGCACCACTGGCTTTATTGCACTCCTTTTATTTCATGCCCCTCTCCCAATTAATAATAATAATAAAAATAGGCATCATTAACTCTTTCCCATTTTGGCAATCAGTTCATCACAGATTTTTGTCAGCTCTTCAACTTCTTTATTCTGAAAAGGAACGAGAGACGCATTGAGTGTAAACTTCATAAGGTTTGATAGCAGAGTAGTTTCAAGAGTACTGTAATAATTCCTGCATTTGATAAGAGCGCCTGATCGCGTCTTCGAGACGTCTCAATGTGCTTCACAAGATACGCTGCAAAGTGTAGTGGCTGTGTGTTTTCTGGGCGAAATGTGGCAGCCAATTGCGCACAGCAGTGTCCCACAATTATTGTTATTAATAATAATTACCTTCTGTTCCAAGGTTCTTTCCAGTGACTCCACTTTCATCTGTTCTTTCCGTAAACTGGCCTGAAAGGCTGTCTGCTCAGATTTGGATTTAGCTCGGACTTGGGCAATATCAGTATTGGCTCTGAATATCAAAGGGCGGAAAAAAACAAAATCAACATGCAACAATCATAACCCTTGATATTCTTTTACAAATAAGACTGGCAGAGACTATAAATAAATTGTTCTGCGACTCATTACAATTTGCAGTATTTTCCAGCAGTCACGACGTACAGAGCAAAGTTGCTTGCAGGCCCAAAATGCTGCAAAATGTTTGAACGCAAGCAGGATTTCAGCATTGGATTACGATTCAAATATTAAGGTGCATTCGGGGAACACTTTCTATAGTCACATGAATGTTTGTGTGCGTGAAAGCGCATCTCCAGCAGAGTCCTAATATATGAACAACGTTGCCAATCCACAGTTTTGCACCCTCTCGAATCAGTAGTCAATCAATACTCCTCCACTTGGATTTTTCAGTGCTTTCAGATTCTGTGGATCTAACCTTTCGAATGCCCTCCGTCTCCCACCTTAAAAGCTACCTCTTCCCCTTTCCCGGCATCTGATCGTGTGAACATCTTGAAAAACTCTCATTATAATCAGCCTTTTCATCTACCTCAAACTTTTGAGTACAATTGTATTGTAATGCCATGAGGATAAATTCTGCATTTTCTACTCGTCTCCGTGTGTGTCTGTCTGTACGGAACAACAATAACAAAATGACATTTGTACAGCGCCTTTCATGTCGGGAGGATGTCCCAAGGAGCTGGACAGTCAGTGTTTCGGACCTGAGCTGGGGGTCGGAATCAGGGAGGGTGGAGGTCGCGGTTGTGAGGGGGGAAGGAGGGTAATCGAAGGTACGGTTGAAGAGGAGGGTCTTGGGATGGGTCTTGAAGGAGGCAAGGGAAGGGGCGAGGAGGAGTTCCAGGGGGTAGGGGCAGAGTGGCTGAAGGTACTCACTGCTGCTGTGTGGAGTGTACAGTACTGTATGACAGAAAGTGAAAAGAAAATCTATTTACTTGTCTAGTTTCTCCTCCGCGTGGATTTTCAGTGCTTGATAGCGTTGTTCTTCTTTCTTTACTCTGGCAAGGTATTCCTGCGCACACTTCTTCAATACCTCCTCATTCTGAAATAAAAATCCCAACAATCTTAAAGGAGAATCTGCTGACAGAAACAAAACTTTCAGACGTAGAAACATTGCAGCCACTTTCAGTTCATTTTTCTGCTAGCATTTATGCTGCCAAATGTTTTGGAAAGCTAATTAGCCGGGTCAAAAACTGCTGAACACCCAGTTTGATTGCACTTAGCTTGAATTCTAATGCAGATAATTGTTGAGCAAAAGAGCAGTGCCAGAAAAATAATGATCCTTACATTTGATAGGGTGCCTTATCACGTCGTTGAGACATCTCAAGGCGCTTCACAGAATATTCTGTAAATTGAATTGACTGTATATTTAATGGCCGTAGAAATTAATATGAGCCGATTTGTTTTCTGGAAAGCCCGATGGAATTGTTTTTCCCTTACGAGCCAGGAGTGATCTTTCACAGACTGCACAATCCAGTGTACAGTGTATGAAGTGCTCCGGGCTGCTATCCTGAGTGAAGGGCGCTATATAAATGTAAGTTGTTGTTGTACGCTCAAATTGAGCCGCCGTACGTGGCTCCCGTAATTACTCTGAATGTCCTCACCTTTCGGAATCCCTCCAAAACCTCCTTCATCTTCTCGTATCTCCTGAAGAGTTCTGCTAGAGATTTCTCCACCGAGTTCAAGTCCGACAAAGCCTGGTCTTTCTCAACTATTAGCTGCTGCACCGTATGATGAGAGATGGACTTGTCCCTCTGATCGTCCTCTGCAGAACAAAACGTCAGGTTGTTGCAAGGGATAGACTCCAATGGTTTCTCTCACTTTCCCAGCACCTGATTTTCAGCTGGAAAATTAGCAATGTTTCTAAACAGAACCGTCCGATGCATTAATTGACATCAACACCACCGACATGACACAAAACGAGTGTTTAATCTCACTTCACCCATTGCATCTCGCATTGTGCAATCTCGCTCCATGTCATCGCCTGGAAAGCTTGTGTCAGACTCCAAAATGCATACAAGGATAACCATTACTTATCGAAGGTGGGTCAATCACTGGAATGTGAAATATGTTGGCACTCGAGAGCTGAGTAATACATTCATTTTCCAGTGTTAAAGACAATTTTGCTGTCTTCAAATCATCCAACATCTATACTTGTGGTAAGGTTCGAAATGCTGATAGCTCAAGCTTTTCCTTTCTAGTATCACTAATATGGCACCGACAGAATCTCAGATACGTGGCTATGAGCAGCCAAAGAACAGTTGAAAACCTTCAAGCAGTGAAGTATGTGGTTTTGGCCTTTATGAAGCTTCCACAGCAAATTGAGTGGTTATTAAAGTAAGGCAAAGAGTTCAATATCTTGTTCATAAAAATAATCGAAAAAATATAATTTTTGGCCTTCTTAAATCTCCAAATGTCTTGTAGAAGAAAGAGATCGGTCAGAGACTTTGTTACCACTCTAGTGTGAAAGGCAAATCTAACGTGTAAATCAAAGTGTTAACGTGAGGGAAACTTATCCCGTGGAGAGATTCACAATGTACATTTCTAAATGTCCAACTTCGACAATGCATAATTCACATCCAAGGTATTTGGAGTCTACCTCCTACTACATGGAGCTTCTGTTTAGTGCTATTTGATTGTCGGAGGCACCTGATCTTTATTCTCCCTGCTGTCTCTTGTTTGTACAGAGGGTAGTTTTCATGAAATCTGCCACAGAATAACCTATAACTACTCTGTGATTGATTCCCAAATTGTGATATAAACTATGATAAACACAGTCTTCTTTCTCTCAATGTTGAACAGCCACATGGCCTGATAGCACTCAATTTTACACAAACTTCTCCTGACTGTTTTGGAGGATTTACAGCAAATCGAGAGGTCACAAAGTGAGAGTTGGTAATCAAACCACTCATTACCTCAATTATGATCATGAGAGGAACAGTATAACTGTCACGCACCAGTGCTGGAGCTCAGACTATTATGGATCAATGACATAAATTAGAAGTTTGATAACATGATGCAGAAATAAACCAATTTGTCTGATGCAGAATGGCTGATTGAAATACATGAGAACATTCACTGCGCTTTAAAAGCACTACAGATGCATCTTAACTGCAAAAGTTGAAACAACATGGCTCACCAAACAGTGGGTTAATAAATGCTTGTTGTAATGTGAAATACAATGAATACAACTACAGATATTTGCATGAGTGTGAATAAAACTATTGCCAATGTACGCCTGGTACATCAAGCTGTCCTTTAGTTTGAAAATCACAAACACAGTCAAGGCACGCACTGTTGAAGGTATTGTGCCCTTACATCCCATGCTTTATGGAAAAAAAAATTGGAAGAACGAAGAAATAACTCCCGCAATTTTGCATGGTAAAAGTGTATCTGAAAGCACTACTTACCAGGCATGCCTATTTGCATTGCAAGCAAATGACAGGTGGCAAAGTGACAGCAAAATGGAAAAAGGAAGCAGTTAGGCAAGCAGAGTGAGAGAGAGAAAAAAAAACACTTGAAACATTTGAGAAAGGACCAGAGATTGTTTTCCAAAGAGAGTCTCGTGGCTTCTTCATTGAGAAAGTTTAAAAGGATGAAAGAAAAATGCAGCTAAAGCAATGGGGAGGGAAGGGGAGTGGAAAGAAAGAAAATCAAAAGCAAGTTTGGGATCAAAATATAGCGTTAATATAGATGGAAAAGCCAACTAAAAACTTTATAGAGCTCAAAAATACGGAGGCTTTACTCGTAAGGATTTTCAATTTGTTTTGAGGAGAATTCAGCTCATTGTAGGTCTAAATGAAACATGAAAAAAACAATTTCCCAAACAATGACTTAAATGATCCACAAGGATTCAATTTAGGTCAATATCATGTTAAAAGATATGCTCAATGTCCATGCAGTTAATTAATTTTCATATCGCTTTTCAGTCAAAATATAGCATATTCACTGCAAGCTGAGACAATCCAAGCATCAGTTCACCACGTTCTCTTTCAACCCTCTCCCCTTCGCCCGCACACACACACACACACACTGAAGTAAAACAACATTTTTGTTGCTGTTGTTCTTAAAATTAAAACTGTAGTGTTAAAATAAAAGGCGTCAGCAGTACTTCAGGATTGCAATCAGCATCCGAATGCTTTGGATAAATTATCGGTTTGTAATTGTTCCAAGGTATTCGTTATTCTCTACTTTTATTCAGCCATCCGGATAAAATAGTTTATATGCAAAAGGCGAGAAATACAAGAAACACCGAGGGAATGATACAACCTACAAAGGGATACAACTATAACAAGGGGGGGATAAGAGCAGGAAAACAACAGTTTATTTGGCAGCATGTAGAGTATATGAAAAAAATCGCGATTGGAAGCATTCTTACTCCATTCTGGAAATAGACTTGTTGATCATGTTGCCATAATCTTACTAAAGATTCTGTAACTTGCATTGTATGACAATAAAAATAATCATTGCACTTGATTTTGAGTCTCTAAGTGCTTCACAGAATATTCTGTAACGCGAATTGACTGAATATTTTGTGGGGCGAAACTCGGCAGCCAATTGCGTGAAGCAGTGTCCCACAAATAGCCATGGAGTGAGCGATCAAATTATTATTATCAAATTATGATACTCGACAAGAAACAAAAATCTTACCAATCATTTGAGCAATGGTCTTCTCATATTCTGCGACAATTCGTCTGTGAACAAGAAATGCTAAAATGAGAAGAGGACCTTGAAGCACGAAGGGAACCTTTACGCTAACATTATGGGCAATGGTACAACATTGAACTGAATATCAAAATAGCTGTACAAGTCAGGTGAACAAGTCACACTAAATAATACTTACACCCTTATGATTCAATAGCAAAGATGATATATATATATTATATAATATATTTCATTATACTGTATATAATATATATCAATTGTATATAGTATATATTATGTTGATATATTACAGAGGATTTAGGCCCATGATCTTAATTTCATGGAAACAGCAGAAGATAAAGAACAGATCAATTTTAAAAATCCAATTTTGAAGACCTGAAAACACAAAGAAATCGCTCATGTATATAAAATCAACATTTAACATCACAAACTGCCTGAACGGCAATTTTCATCACTGGAGGTAAAAATGGGGAAATGTGTGTTTCACAAATAGGGAAAGTATAAGTCTCATTGTAACAGGTATACAAATTGAATATACTGAATAAAATATTACAGCCAGGCATTTAGGTCTGACTATTTACATTATAAACATTACACTAGATATAGAACAAAAGTCATGGGAATAAGAGGTTACAGTCTATTCACGGTGTAAAACATATACTGTACTAATGTCCATTCGATTCCTAGAATAGAAGCCATCTGTATGTTGCATTGAACCATTTTGCCCGACATGTCCTACTATCAGATCAGTACCAAACAGCCAGTTTGGCAGATCCTGTTGCGAGATCCTTGCCAAAAAGACCGATTAAACAACGGCTTAAATCCTCTTACTCTGAGCCAAAGCACATTGATAGAATTACATTTGATTCCTATCTATAATGCAAATGATTAGGAAACAAAGTTTTTGAGCCAAATATCTGGTCCAAGTCTTTTATTGGACCATATATTCATACATTCCAAAATTAAGAGAGGTGGGTGAGGGGAGAGTGAGGGACAATGCCCATTCTCATTATGCTGTTTTCTGTTGTGCTGACTCTCAGCGAAGGAGAACATTATCCCGCACCTATCGTGATTTACTGTGCTTCAGCTTGTTATGCAATTGGTGATCCACAGTATCAGCTCGGGAATTTAAAATGGAAATCGTTTGCATTATTCGGTGACACGGTAAGCATAATACATAATCAACAGGAAACATACCGAGTAAGTTTAAAAAAAGTAGAGGTAGATTTTAATTCCATCCCACAATTGTCTATCGCAGTGCAACATCACCTGCAATATCATGCCATACATATATAGCAAGTTAAGGCTTTTTTTTGTTTAAAAGTATGGCCGGTACACCATTTCTTTTAAAATGACTTCTGACTCCAAACTGGAAACATAGAATTTCGCTTTTTAAGTGCAGGGTTATTGGAAGAGAGCAAAACACGCAGAAATGTGGCCAATAGTGTGTTTTGTTTAAGTATAAATTTTAAGGCTCGACTGTTTCAAGAAGGCAGTCAAAACTCAAGAAAAACTGAATTCAGAAAACTTTGAAATGGTGTAAATGTTGATGAAAGCCGGTATGTGCAAAGATGGCTCAGTGAGACCTTACATCGCCCCCAAAGTGAAATCGCAGACTTTCTGGCATTTGCGAATTGAAAATGGTTTCAATGAACACAGATAAAAAGGTAACAGGAAACAGATGCTTTAACCTTGGAAGGGACAAAACTTTTTATAGAACTGCAAGCTTCAGGAACTAGTCTGCTGGCATTAAGCATATATTATAGGAATCTTGGTCTAATCTGCAAACAAGATCATCCTTAATCATAAGATTCAGTGCCAGAGTGAAGGAGGTGTGTGTGTGTGGGGGGGGGGTTCCGAACATACAAACAGGGTTACAAGAGTAAACACCTCCTCTCTTCCATTTGAACCCTAGTCTTCCCTTGGTTTTCTGTCTGTTACCATTGAGCGTTACTTTGTATTGTAGGTTCCTATCAAATTTGCGAGGTTTTAGCTCAAGCAAAGTTTTTTTTGCTGATACGATTTGACAACCTCTGTTTTCCTCTGTCGCTCAGATATCACAGAACTCTGGGACTCCTGCAGTTCCTATACCTTGCTCTTTCCGCTTTATCCTTGCAGATACAATACTTTGGTTTCAAGTACGCCCTGCAAGACCACACTCCCACCGCAAAATACTATATCCTCAATTTCCATGCTTATTTCCTTGAAACACAGAAGCGCAAACCCACTAAAGCTATTGTATCAAACAATGAAATTACTTTCACATCTGCACCCTCACTTGACTGAACAGATTTCATCTGTTTAAGTTAAAAGGTTACGGTATTAATGTTAACAGAGTTTAAGGTTTACTCTCAAAATTGCTTCTCTTTCTCACGCTCTTTGCTCCTTGTTTCCAGCTCAATTCCTTCTCTCTTATATCACAGTATCTCTCGCTTGCCCTTTCCTTCTAGTAAACCCTTCGGGGAGCAGTCTCTGTGGAGGTGCCCCAGTCCTCACAGCAAACACCTCAGTGGGATATTGTCTGAAACCTTGGAGCACACTGACTGCAAGACATGGATAGTCTGGACAAACTAGCGCAATGAAGGTTTTAAAAAAAAAAGCAAAACATCTGTGTGAAACTGAATTACACTGTACATTTAATGTCATTTTCCTTGTGATCTTTTAGCAAACGCTGTTTTCGCAAGCAATTTTCTGGTCTGCTTTATAGGAAATAAAATCTTCAGTAAAAATATTTTAACCTGCAATACTGTGGAGCAAATTCCCATGCCATGCTCTGCAGCAGTCTATTCTTTATTGGGTCGCTGTTTGTTTGATTTCAAACGGCAGAGGCATGCTGAGATTCAAGGCTGTCATTCTGAGGATAACATTGTTTTTCGTAACTGTTTTGGCGGGTTTACAGCTTTTTTGCTGTATCCTCCCTACGTGATAACCGTTTCCAGTCCAGAAGTTTACCAAAGGTACTCAGTATTCAGCAGTATTACCAAACAACTCAATATATATGCCTCTTTAGGAACCATTAATACTTGAAATGCACATTTCAACGCCATGTAAAAGTTATATCCCTTTCTCATTGACTTCATTCAGTTCTAGTCGTTAGGAGGCAACTTGCAGTAGCTACACAGGAACTTTCGTCAATTCTCTTATCAGTTTGGTTTGGACACTGCAGTCACCTCATATCATTATCTTCTGACACTCGGCTATTATAGACCACGCGAGAACAGTTGTGTAATTACCAAACCAGCAACAAACGTACAAGTCATTCCTCGAGCCTCACTCTAGATGTTTCGATCGTCGATGCCTCCACGTATGTTGCAGACTGGATAACGAATCAGTGAGTCCACTTCATATTGTTTAAAAACACGCTGTTAAGACTCGTCGTAATAACTTACCTCATCTCAACAACCTCCTGCCTACTCTCGTCGTACTTCCTCTTCCACTCATCTGCTTCTCTTGTCTTGGCAACAATCTGGCAGAATACGAGTAAGGGTGGAAGAACACACAATTGAGGAAACAATAACGCCAGCTTGCATGCATATAGCGCCTTTCACGAAGAGTAGCATCTCAACTGTTCATGAGACATTGTTGTGCAGAAATTGGCTGCACGTTTGCCCACGAAACACACAGTCATTCCATTTTACAGTATAACCTGCAAAGTGCTTTGAGGCGTCCTCCTGACGTGAAAGGAGCTATATCAAATGAAGAAGCATAATAAGAGGGGACAACAGCTTTTTTAAAAAAAATATATAATAAAATTCAGAAAAAGGAGAAAAACAGCCAGCAATTTTGCTCATCGGCTTGTGACTATTGTAAATTGGATTTCGTTGTTTTAACTAAGATTTTTTTCTCTAAGAAAAACCATCCACGTTTCTAGAAATGGTTGATTTGTTAAGATACACAAATAGTCTTAAAACAATTACAATTAATTTATGTGTGTGTGGGCGGGGGGAGGGTGGTGGAGAGAAACAAGAAGAGAGAGGAGAGAAAGAGAAAGATTTCATTTCCTTTAACTTTTGTAGAAGTGTAGCCGCGCATCGCAAGCAAAAGCCTAATTCAATGAGAAAGAACTACCTCCTCCCTCGTTGCCCTCAAAGCAGAATCCAAATCCCTTTGGTCGTAGTGATGTCCGTCAAGCGCAGTGTCATCAAGCTCGACCTCACAGCTTCGAGAGTACAGAGCACTTTTGGAAATTGGGGTGTCCATTGGAGATGTAGCATCTCTTTGCTGTAACAAAAACATAGGTGCACACACAAAAAAAATCAGCAGTATGTTTAGATAGTGTCCACTAGCACTTTTACTCCAGATTTTAAGGCTGCGATTTCAAGTCAAATTCTTGTAACACTGTAAAGCTACGTAAACTAGGTAAAGTGCTGTTCTACGGCAGTTCCGTGTGGAATTATTTGGATTCTAATGATGTTCACTGCAGAATTATTCGAGTTATACTGTGTCAGGGAGATGGAGTGCATGACTGGATGTCACTGTAACCTGTGCTCTATTGAAAGTCATTTTCAATCTTCATTGCAACAAAAAGGTTAATATCCTTTTCTTTTCTCTGTTGTAATCGTCAGAAATCACATTGCGTTTTGCACAAAAAGGACAGCTAGGAGCAGGAAAAAAACTCCAATTCTAGAAGGTCCAAAAAATAAATCTGCTCCATCACATTTATACCTCTGTATGTTTATTTAATTGTTTCATGTATTTTAACAAATACAAAATGGCACACTTTTTCTATTTGCAGATAAGATTAAGCAATACACTATAAGCAGGATGATGGATGTTGACAGGGAAATTGGACAATATTTTCTTTATTCAGATCTGGCTGATTCCATTAACGAGGAGTGACTGTGAAGCAATGTGAAACACTGCAATTTCATGGTCAGGTTACAATTCAGTTTATCATTAGATTAATGAATAAACTGGAGTCCATCGGAATGTATTTCATCCTGTCAGTACTGATCTTTGTGGACTTTAACATTGTACGCTCTGTTGTGGCACTTGGAACAATGACATTGTTCTGCCTACATTCGAACAATCGTGACCTGTATCTCCAGAAACACAGCAGCATAAATCGCTTGGTCATTCTTAATTTTGTAGTTTAGCTAAAAAAAAACAACAGATGTTGCAGTTGCCCAAAAGGGAAATTATTGCATAAGGTAACTTCACATTATAGGACAGATCAACTTGTAACTGTCTGAAAAACATGTCGAATTATTTATTCATGCAAACATACTGTAGTCCTTAAAAGATAAAAGTTAAAGGACTTCTCTACAACTGAAAGTAAATGAAACAGTAGGGTTGTATTGCTTTGTGCATCCATTTCCTGTATGTAAGGATAGGGACAAAAGCTTGGACTGAATGTAGCAGCTGAATACAAATTCCGGTTAGTATACTCAATAAAGAGGTTCAGCACGAGACTGGAAATTAAACAAACACCACAAACGAAATCTGGAAAATTCTTGCTTTAGAAAGCTAGACAAGAAGCCGAACAATGAGCAAACAACGTCATTTGTTCAAAGAGTGTTTTGCAGTGGACTGTTCACCTTTGGTGCAGAATGCTGTGGAATGGTAGCGACATTTGACAACTGCACAGAACGTCAAAATGAAATATTAACCTGAAAGCAAATGGCAATACAGCTTCTTTATTTTACACGGGTAGATAAGTGCAATGGTCTGCCCAGAGGAGGCAGATTGTGGCGGCAAATGTGAGCTAATTACACTGCTATTTGCTGTATGAAAGATTAAAATGAAAATGATATTGCTAAAGCTATAAACCACAACTTGCTACATTTATTGGAAAAAAAAGTTCAGTGATTAATACCTTTGGAGCTGTAATTCTTCTGGAGAAATATTTGGCTCTCACATTTACCGAAATGCTTGATGCAAGTTTAGATGCAGCCACTTTTATATAAAAATTAAACAAACCTACTGTAAACTTTATGATAAAAATATATACAGTAAACTCCTGATAACTCAACCCTGGCTTAACTTGTCACTACCACTTACGTTATCGTGCTGTCAATATCCTGGCCGTATTTATTTATGTATTTATACATATGCATACGTCATTATAAGAACATAAGAAATGCTAGACGAGAAAACAGACCAAGGTCCATCTAGTTCACCTTCCACCATCCTGGTGGCTGCATGCACATATGTCCCGAACTGCCTATGTCCTATATCCAATAATAATAATAATAATAATCCTTGCATTTGATATAGCGCTTTTCACGTCGGAGGACGTCCCAAAGCGCTTCACAGAACACACTGTAAAGTGAATTGACTGTATATTTGTGGGCGAACGCGGCAGCCAATTGCGCACAGCAATGTCCCACAAACAGTCGTAGATTGAAAATGACCAATTTAATTATTGTTTTTGGTTTTGGAGGGATTATTATTAGGCTCTGTGTGGAGTAAGGAAACTTGCCTGAGGTTTCGCCCTCTGCCTGGAATTGAACTCAGGTCTCTCACTTGCAAAGCGAGTGCTCTAACCACTGAGCTACAGGACTCCACAATAGTGTTATTTCCTATTTCATAATGTTATGTTGTTTCATGACTGAGCCCTTCGCAGTTGGTCTGACGAATTATCAGGAGTTTACAGTGTAGACACCTGTACTGCAAAAGCAAAGTGTAATGACCATTGTAATTCACGTGTGACAGTAGAGTATACTTGAACATGGCTGACACCATATGAGGGAAGGCTACTATCTAACGCTTACTTGTAAACACGAACCCAAACTGGCCCATGTTCTTGGGACCGTTCTCCTCCCTCTCATCTGTGAGCATGCAAATAAGTGAAAGAAACTCGAGAAAATGACATGGCAAATAACTGTTCAGCAGATCCAGCAGAATGCCGGCTAATTGTGTTCGAGAATAAAATAAAATACACCTCAGCTGTTAGTAGGAAACAAAAGCACAGTTTGCATTTCAATTTGCAGATAATAATCCATTGCAAAAAAAATCCTCCCCAAAAATGATAATAATAATAATAATGCGGTCACCCAATTCACGACTGTTTGTGGGACACCACGCAATTGGCTGCTGCGTTTCACCCACAAATATACAGTCAATTCACTTTACAGTAATTGTGTGAAGCGCTTTGAGACGTCTCGAAGACGTGATAATGCTCTGTATCAAATGCAAGGGTTATTATTATTATTATTATTATTCATTAAACCTTTCCATTGGACTTTAAGCTGCAACGTCAACTTCTGGCTCTTGTTCAGATTTTTTTTTTAAAAAAATTAAGTATTCGATCCACGTGGGATTTCGCCAAATTAAATGGATTGCAGGACAAGAAAAAAAAGGCCATCTCATTGCAAGAAACAAAGAACGAAATGCATCATGAAACTAGTCTTATATACCCACAACCGACAGGTTGCATTCCTATTTCAGAAACGTCACAAGATTGATTAGACGTAGCAGCTCAGCTCCCACAAATGTAGGGCTGATTGAAATGCGCAAGGGATTTTCTTGTAGAAGGAATTTGAGAACTTAACACGTCTCCTGCTGGTGTGCAACATAAAATGGCTTGGTGTTAGTACTTCTCACTTCATAAATAATAACCCTTTTGCATTTGACGGAACGCCTATAATTTTGAAACATCTCACAGTTTTTCACGTTTGCTGTAAAGTTATTGTGGTATTTCCAGCTGAACGAGTAACCAATTTGCATACAGCAATGTCACACAAACAGCCATAAATTCAATGACTAATTTATCTAAGGGATTGTTGGCCAGGAGCAACTAACTGCCATAGATTACGAGGGTATTATTTTGCAAATCAGTTTTACATCAGTGCAACAAATTATCCTAAAAATGAACACATTTGTTAAAGCCGTAAAAAAAAAAGGCTGATTCCAGAGTTTAACATATTGACGTAACCATGACTTGATGGGTCTAATGGCCTGCTCCTTAACCCTCATTCACAATGTTTTAATCAGCGAGTAAAAGAGGAGTTGAAGACATGGGATGGAGGAAAACCTGAAACCCCAATTCACTCCAAAAAAAAAAGGCTTCTATTTAAAGGCTGTGAAGAACCTGCAATTTACGTACAGAAATACAGTACCTGGAGTTATATGGAAGGCAATGGATCAGTGAGAAGTGGGACTGGAGAAAAATCAAGAAATTAATATGTGAGGCAGGGTGGGGGAGCAGAAGTATCTGCTATCACACCCCACACATTGCATTGCAGCTGACAACCTATGCAGCAAGAATCTTTTGAAAACAGCCAAAAGCATTTAAAAAAAGCATAGCTTCTAAACTGATTGTTATTGGGTGTTTTACATTTATTTTTAGTTCCTAATATAATGTGCATAGGACTTATATTCAAAAAGATTTGTAATTCCCCCACCCCCCCACCACCCACATTAGGATATTTATGCTCGCTTATATGTCGTTGAGTAATATTCCTAGGCAATTGCTGTGCAATATACATCATCATAAAATAGTGGAAAATAATTTTAAAATGGATTCCCACAGCATCAACAGTACACGCAGACCCAGGGCATAAATGAGCAGATGTGAAAAGCAAGAATAAACATGCGTCCAAGAGGAAAACAAAAAAACCTTCTCGGCAAGTGACAGACGACAGATGAATCCATGTGAGTTTCAGCGGCTCTGTACAAGGCACAAGTCACCCTAGTGAGTGAGACGCATCAATAGAAAATAATGCCGACATCTCACAGGGTTTTTAAACTCATTTGAAACAGGTGACAAGGATTGAGTTCTAAATCCATAATTTATGGGAATATAACGTACGCACCATTATCCAGGGAAACGGTTTTAAAGACATTATGGAACACATTAAAATGAGAACAGAAATATTTTACGATGGGCAACTAACTATATGACCATTGTCATTACCCTTTCAGCTTGCCTTGCTAGAGTTGCTTTCATTAAATTCGCTATCATTAAAGCCGAACCATAAATAAACTGTTCAGTGCAGCATCGCAGCAGCAGGCACTCGCCAAAGTAATACCTGAATTCTGCAAAATAAAACCTAAACTCGTGAAAAATATTCAAACAAAACCTGCAAGTGTAGGAAGGCTGCTCGTCATTTAGAGTGATGTACAAAGCTTGTAATCTCTCTTAAAAATAGTCATTAATAAAATTAAGTGCCAAATGCCATTAACTAACCGGAAAAAAATGCTCATCTGATGAGTTTAGACGCTCCTCGAAGGAGAGGAAGCTTAAAAAGAGCCATATCGTCTTTTAAACACTCAATGACTGGTTGGATTATATTCATTAGAAATGTCAGGTAAAGCTTATTAAAAGTAAGATGCACAAAGTCGATCATCCACAACACCCACGTCATGGCTGTCCGTGTATCTATTCTTTATCCCATCGGGCAGTTTACCATTAGTTGGTTTAACAGGTTCATTTTCTAACCATAAGGTTATTAATCCTCATGGGTCCATTTCACTATATGCCATGTTCTAAGAAAACGTGTCGCTCTGCTCTAAACGACTGAAAATAAAACCGAATTAGTCAGCTTCTGTCTCTTTCTCCCCAAAAACACATATTGAATGAACACAGTTGTCATCCCTGTGATAAAGTGCTCCAGGCTTTTCAATTTTTACACTGTTTTTGCCACAAGGTCAGTCAGTCTTTATTTGTAACACAGATTACACTGTATTCGACATGCACAGCAACACACCCAATATCTAACAAACACACTGCAATTTAGAATCCGCAACTCATTCAAAAGATGAAACCATTAACACATGCTTCAAACAGCACAGCGTAAAGCTGTAGACCGATTCAGTGCACTCACTAAATCAGTGCCATTGCAAAACACAGCACTCCAGGCATAATGGGATACCTCATAATCTAAGGAGTTGCCGGGAGAGTTGGAAAGCTGTCTGGCTAGCTTCAGTGCTTCTATCCTCATCGCAGCATACACTAGCTCTTCCTGGCATTGAGGTGGTAGAGAACAATCCATGGAAAAGCAGTATTGGAAAAAATGAGTGTAAGACTTTGACTGTGAGGAAGGGTTGTTGAACAGACAGAAATGGATATGAAACTGAATTTGAATGCAAGCACAGAGGTGGTTGACAGGAAACAGGGCATGTACGAACCTGTAACTTGTAAGCAAATGCTGTTGGGTTCTTTTCAGCTGTGTCTGGCTGCAGATAGTCCACTTCGTCATCGTCTACTTCTGCATGTCCTATAATCCTATTTATCAAGGCATCTGCAGAGGCAACCAGTTCCTCAGGTGTTGCCTGCACAAAATGTGCAATGGTTCAGGAAAAAAAATGTTTTTTTTTATATAACCTATTCCTGTAAAGAGTATCTTTTTTGGCATGGGTGGCTGGGTTCGTTATGCCAAAAAATGACACTGTCTTAAATTGTCATGAACAAATTTAGCTGTTCCAAACATGATCGCGCTTACAAATGTTACCACCAGTGACAGAGAAATTTAGCCACAGAGAAACAGGCGTGAAAAACGGCCATGCCTCAAGAAGGAAACCACACAACATAAATGCAATACATTCTGAACTTGGGGAGTGAGTGAACTTTCATGCTCCACCAGTACGTTTCTCAGAATTGATCAATGGTCTAATTGAACCAACAGGAAAATGTCCTCCCGACCTGAAAGGTGCTACATAAATGTAAATTATTTGTTGTTGTTGTCAAAGTTAAATGTGGTTCCTGCGATTGACTAATAACCATATTAATAATGTACAGTGAGTACTGCCAGGCTTTCCATTAATGCCAGATGGAAAAACATTGAACTGTATGCTGTTCAAAGAGAAGCTTCCTTTCTGTCCCTGACCCCTACCCAAGCTGCTTTTCATGTGACCACTGGAAAGATTAGATAAAAGCTCACTCCTACTCTTACTTTCCATATGCAAAGTACTTGCCTTTACTGAATCAGGAAAATCATTGCATGGGGAATCATGGGCTCAAACCAGAGCTGCATGAACAATGTGCAACTTAAATTCCGGTGTGAAATCTGACCTTTACTCCCATGTGACTGTGTTGAGTTACAAATTGTCACACCCGAGTGACCAAACAATACCTTATGGAATTCAATTATTATGAGACCAAAGTGAAATCATTGATTTATTCCATTTGTGAACAATAAAAAGCAACTCACCATTCCAGGTTTAGCTGACAATGAACTCATGGAATCCATGTCATTCACCTTCAGCTTGTCAGGTGGCTGTGAATACACCTCTTGACTTGGAGCCAAGGCTCGCGTGACTGGACGTTGGATCTTCTTCCCAGCAGATGTCTGTACACTGAGCTCTGCTTCATCCGGACTCAACCTGAAAAAGGTAATAATAATAATAATCCTTGCATTTGATATAGCGCCTTTTCAAGTGTTCGAGACGTCTCCAAGCTCCTCACAGAATATACTGTAAAGTGAATTGACTGTTTATTTTGTGGGCGAAACGCAGCAGCCAATTGCGCAAAGTGGTGTCCCATAAACAGTTGTGGATTGAAATGACCAATTTATTATTAATTTTTTTTTAAGGGTTTATTACCCTTGTAAAAGCGATCCGCCAATCAACTAACAACTGGGTTCCTACTTACTGTAGGTAAACAGAGGCGTGTGGAGTAAGGAAACTTCCCCAACATTTGGCCCTGCCAGGAAACGAACCCAGGTCTCTCGCTTGTGAGTTGAGTGCTCTATCCCCTGAGCTACAGGACTCAGCACTGCTAACAGCTTAATGCAATAACAATTTCAGTTAGAACAGATCAATATTTAATCAAAAATGTTTGGTGGACACAAAAGCAGACGGTGGAAAGGGAAGCAATTTCCGTAGCTCAGTGTCTCATGTGCAAACTTACCACATGGGAAATAACAGGCGTGAACTTCGGTCAAACAGCTCTGTGGCACAGAGCTGTTTGACTGAAGTTCGCGCCTGTAATTATGCTGACTACCCTCCCATTTCATGGGTGACTTGATGTTTCAGAGTACAAACAGTGGACCCAAGTGCAAAGTGGGTGATGTTCGTGAAATTACATCGCATGCTTTAAAACAATTCCCGGTTGAAGCTACTGAATTGAAATTTATATTATTTGAAAAGATTTCACCATTGAAGAAGAATTGAAGCGAATACAACCACAACCTTGGGAGGAATGCGGATGAAATCGCAGTGGCTTATGCAAGCTATCTCATATCGGTGTCCACTGTTACGTTTATCAGGTACTGACGTCAAAGGTGCCATATAAATGCCAGCTGCTGTTAAAAGACACTTGCTCCTCAAATTCAAATAAGTGAATGCAAAAGGGGCAACGATTTATCAATATCCTATATATATTGTGTATGGAAGGTTTGTTAATTATCTAAACACGTAATTCTTTTTCCAATTCCGTTAACATTTCAAATTAGATTATACAAGGATGACTGAATACATACCCTGAATATGGTGTGGTTGAATCAGATAGCTTAATGGGTGGAGACTTTACCGGACTATCTTTCAGAGAATCAATCTTCAGGTACATGGACTGTTTTTGTGCAGTTGTATCATTATGCTAAAAAGGAGAAGGGGGGAAGGGAAACAAAACAAATCAGAATACGTTATTACAAACTGTAGCATAATTAAGCCTATTAAGAGCTATGCATTATGTGATGATACAAATTACATGAAAAATAATCATCTCTTCCACTAGACTTCAGTAGCAAAGAAAGACACCTGTGGTGCGAGTTAATATAAGCATTGACGATTGAAACACTACTATCGTACAACATTCAAGTCACTAGGTGTACGTGACTGGCACAACATGCAAGGACATGTACAGAAATTATTGCAATTATTTGTGTGAAAGAAACTACATGTGCAGCATAAGATGACTAATGGAAACACAAAGGCCAATATGCGACCCTGCTTGAAGGGCACTATATTAATGCTATTCCACCATAGTCTAACAGTGGATATTTTTCAAGTCTCCATTAACTGATTCTATTCTGAGAGTGTGTTTGAAGAAAAGGGATGCCTTATTTTCATGCCACGGTGTAGCTCTGAAGTAGACGAGAAGTGAACCCAGCTGATAATGGTTTCAGCTGAAGCCGAGCAACCTCACAGTGATGGTCTCTGGAGGGTATTTACCACTAGAGCAGCACCAAAAGTGGTTCACTTTATTTAAACAGACTGACCCCCAGTTAACAAGCTGAAAATAAATACTCAGAGGACATTTTCACAACAGCTGCTTTGAAAAGAAAACAATTAACAGACTTGCTGTTGTGAAAGGTATGCGGGGAGCAAGGGTGCTTTGCATTAATAAGTAACTGTGGAGCTCTGTAGTTTCAGTCAAATGTTTACAGCAACGAGGATTTCAGTGTAATTGTGAGATTTGTTGATGCCAGTGAATTCTGATAGTAACTTTGGTGATTTGGGTTTAACATGCAACTGATACTCACAGGTGAAGATGAGCCAAGTTTTTCCATATATTCTATTTCTAACGATTGGTCATATTCCAAAACTGTACAAGACAAGGCAAGAAAAAAGGCCACATTAGACAATCAAACAGGACTGGCTTTCCTACACAGGTTCCATGTAAGCACTGCATGGTTACGCCACATCTGTCTACAGGCAGCTCAGTTCCAGCATTAGAAACACCTACTGATTTAAGGCAGTAAACTTTAGTTCATTTCCCGTAAGCTAAGTGCCACAAAACGTATACCCATGGTGCATGTTTGGCACGCTGCTGAAATAATTACGAGGGCAACCACTGTGACTATTTGTTTAACAAAGATTGAATGCTATCTGCTTGTAACCAGCAAGTTCACAATGGAATAGAGTTGACAAGGACACTAAGTTCTTAATGACTTTGACAAACAAATTATAGTCCGTGAATTGGAAATGAGAATGAATGCAGACTAAGTTTGTTTATCACACGATTTATGAAACATTATAAAACAAATGAGCCATTTCAGAGCAGTGTTTCCTGTGGAAGGGTTACATGCAGATAAGGATTACATTGAGAACTGTACATGACTGATTATGGAGTAAAAGGCTTTTAACAAGACAATCCAATTACGCTGTGATTAATAGTATAAGCTTTAGGAAGTTAAATCCATGCTGTAGAGTGACCACATTTAAAGTGAAATGTAACAGATGGCATATAACATTGCTAAAAGTCTGACTTACTATTGCACTAAATCAGTTTGAAATGTCCAGTTTCTATTTTTGCTGACATTGAAGTCAACATAATTCAGTTCAACTTCAATAACTTGTTTTTCTTATCGCAGTTTTTCCTGAATAACTGACCACTTAGTTCCGATTCGTAGCTGGGTTTTTCCATCCTTACCAAAACCAAATTCCCCTGCCTTATCCTCCAATAATCAATCCCTTTACCCCCCACTTGGTCAAAAAGAGAAGACAGTAGATTCGTGGGCAGAGCTGGATTTGAGCAATCTGAGCACACGATGTGAGTTTCAAACTTTGGAGAGCAAGGACAGGATTCAAAATCTCCAAAACAAAGTCACAAAAGATACCCATTTTCTTCACGCAAAAAAATCAAGAAATGATGCAGCAAAGTTCAGAACAAGTGTGTCTGTCCTAAAACATGAAGCAAATTTTTGGAGGTCTCTTCTTACAAAGTTGATTAAAAATTAAAGTAATGGGCGCTGAGTTTCCCCTCTATCTCTGGCTTTCTCTCTGTTAATACTTACTTTTGTGCTGCCAGCAAAACAAATCCAATATATACATGCACATATATAAGGGAAGTGATTGACCCACATTCTGTGGGGAAATCACATCCCTAGTAGCTTCATGTATAACTGGATCTTATTGCCCATATCTCAGGGGTTTGGGTTAGTCTGGGAACATAAGGCAAGTGGCAATTTCGAAACGAAATTTAAGGGAAACAATACTGGTCTTATAACTTGGAAGGATACGGTGGACTCAAAATATGTTAAGGAAAAAAGGAGTGAATGCTTGAGCGACTTAATGAATGTGCTTTTAAAGCTTTTAATGAGGCCTTCACCTTGCTTGCAAATTCAATAGTGCACAATGAATGGCTACAGAATCGATTGTGTATGCTATTAGTTTAAGTGCAACACAGAAGATGATACAACAAAGCAGCCGAGCTATAGATTTTTGCCATAGACAACTCAGACACAAATTGAAGTTGAGGTTTGTAAACCGTGTAGAAGATTTGTACTGCATTTTTGCCATTACATCAATGTGTTGAGTGCTGCATAAATAGGGCACGAACACGGGTTTTCTTGAACAGGTTCAAGGTGGAGAGAATAAAAAGTGATAAAGCATCGATCATTAGCATTTTGTTGGCCAACGCGTTCAGGAGGACAAACAGGGAAATGTGTGCAGCCATCAATAGAATGCCCATAGGTGAGCAATCTATTCATTTTGCATTGCGTTTCCACACAATTTGCAGAGGGTGAAAGCAAAGCTCTTTTGAACAGTTAGTATAAAAACAAAAGCAAATCAATTTAAACAATCCACACATCCAACCAGAGAATTTCATACCACGGCTGATCCTGTGGTGTCGGCTCAACTATCTTAACCTCCCAAAGGAGCCTTATTTCTATGGAAACCTTCCATTTTCTTATCCACTGAGCTTGTTATTTTTATTATTATCTTTCCTATCCCTTTCCGCCACTGATAAACGCTCTGAGACACTACCCTGCGTGGTGGGTGCTATATAAGGGCAAGTTGTTGTTGTATTCACTTCCACCATCCTGATTCTGCCATATCTCTGCGATTCCGACCCTATAGTAATTACCATTTGCCACCAGTGCCTCTCGCTTCAGCATTTACCTATCTGCATCTAATTATAATATCCTAATTATCCTTTTTTATTCCCTTCACCTCCTTGTCTGATGGTCTGGTCTTGCTATTTGGGGCTTTCTGAGATCTTTGTGCTCTCGATTTAGATAGTTCCTCTCTTTTTGCTGTTTTCCCTTTTTTTCCTCAACGCTTGCACTTTCTTCCTGATGATTATCAGACCTGACCTCCTCCTTTTGTACTTCAGCACTCCACTGGCCCGCGCCACAAACCAGACAGATAACTAGCTAGAGAAATTAATGTCTGTCTCCTGCTGGTTTATTATCCCATGAGCTCAGCTGCTTCATCAGCACTAAGCAGAAATGCAACAATCTGATTAACCAGAAACAAATGATTTAACATCACCATTCCCAGCCCATCTGTTTTCCATACCCCTGACCTGGTTTAATGCTGCCCTCTGCTGTGTCTCCTGCACTGTTTCAGTGCATCACAGAACAGCGGAGACTTATATGCAAATTGTTTTATCTTGTGCTGAGCAGTAGAACCAGAGGACACGGCCTGGGATTGAAGGGGGGTAAATTCAAAACAAATCTGTGGAAACACGACTTCAGTGAGCGAGTGGTAAACTTACAGTACAGGCTCCCTAGGGAGACAGGCGATGGAAGCAGAAAATGTTGTTTGTTTCAAGAACAAACTAGATAGATGTCTGCTCGAAAATTATATCTTGTGATACAGTATATAATTTGGGACACAACATGTCAAGCGACTGCCAGGATGGTGGAAGGCGAACGAGATGGACCTTGATCTTCTTTCGCCAGCAAATTCTTATGTTCTTAAGGTGGTCCAATTCTGTCTTCATGTGCCCACCTCGGGAGTCTGGGCAGGGACCAGGAAGGAGCTCTGCCTGAGAGTCCCTCTCCCTTGGAGAGTCCCACCCTTAGCTCTGATGAGCTCAGCGAACAGACCAGACCGGTATCCGAGCTTACAATCGTGCCCCTGTATCCTGCCCCAGTGCCTTTACCCACAACATTTCAATGGAATGGCTAAATCAGGGGAAAAAAACAATTTTTAAAGCTTTCACTGATAGAATACAGTTATTATGAGTTTTGAGGTAGTTGAACCAAGCAACGCAATCACCCCTCAATTCATGCAGAGAAATGAAGGCTTGACGTCCGTGTTTTCCAATACATAGGGGAATGTTTAAGAATGCATTTGTGGCTCTGACATCCCTATATCAGAGGATGATCTAATTAATTCTGATCTAATACAACAGGTGCATCTTGCAATAAAGTACAACACTTTTTCCCAATTTAGTAAAATATAAAAGATAAGTTTGAATCTCTTCGCCTTGGCATTATCTCTGCCGGAACCTGCGCATTGGGTGCTATCAAATCTTACCATAATTATTGGTATCTTCCATGAAACTGTCAAGCACCAGTTGCAACCTAAAGTGTTATAATGAGCCCAAAACATACTTTGTATTCGCCTCTAACTCTTTCCTCCCCACTCACCCCCCCCACCCCCACACCCACACACACACACACAACAAAGGTTCACTTGTTTGCTGCTAAAAATGTAATGTTCCCGATACAAGCAGTAAGAGCTACAGATACTGCCAGCGGGACATAAAACCTACCCTCTGGAGAAGTGAAGTTGTTTTCATTCACAAATGCAGAAAGATCGGAGGGCTGAGGGTAGTCAGGCTTCTCGTCCAGTTCACTTTGTACCCCGGAGTAGCTCCATTTCTGATTTGTCACAGAGGAGGCCAGTTTCTCTTCATCGGTGGCATGGTCCACTGTGGCGATAACTGGTGGTGTCTCGGGGGTAGTTAGTGGGGTCGAATCCTGAAATGCAACAATCAATTGCCCACAAAATACACAGTCAATTCACTTTATAGTGTATTTTGTGAAGCGTCTCGAAAGCGTGACAAGGCGCTATGTCAATGTAAGGTTTATTGTTATTATTATCAATACCTGCTCATTTTAAAATCCAGATTATGGGCTATCCCCACTAAAATATTGACAATATTTTTCCCAGTAATGATTTGAAATGTCAACACTGACCTGCGAGGGGGTCCCAGACAGTGGTGAGCGCTTTGGTGATCTCTTCACCCTGAATGTATTTCTGTGAAGAAGAACAGAAACAGCCGACGTAAGCCACTTAAAATGTACCAGAGGACGACTGTGCATTGCAGCTGGAAAGTACAAAACACTAAAAATGAAAACAAAAAACCCATATACACACACACGCACACATAGGACACACCAAGTAGAAAATGCTTAAGCCTTCACCTTAAAGGGGAACCTCAAAAATATTTAATTAGCACTGATGAAAAGGGTCATCATTTACAATTAAACTCTACGCAGCTTCCTGGAAAGAAAGATACAACAGAACCAAGCCAGGGCAGTTGAGGAATTTGCTCACCACTTTGCATCTCTGAGCTCACAGGTTCCCAATAGCATATCCAGACACTAACTCTCTTAAAAGCTCAGCAAGGGGGCCTTCCTGGGAAACACTGGCAGGTATCCTTAATGAGACCGTCTAAATAATTCAACTGGAAGCTCAGTAGGAGGGTAATTTCCAGCATCAAATTCCAGGAAGACTGTGACACTTTTTTTTCCCACTTTTTTTTCTTTAAAACAAGCAAGTCGCGAGCACATCTGCTTTAACGGATTAATGCGAACGACAGGACAGAATCTCGGCATATTTGGAAATTAGAAAAAAAGCTTCCGTTATCTGATTTCAATAATAGAACGTCACAAAAATATACTAATATGGTCCATTAGGTCTGTGCTGATGGTTTTCCATACATGAGCTTTTTAAGTTCAAACTAATTCCCCTGGGCATACCTTTAAATATTCCTCTTTTTTTCAAACATCTAATTTCCTTTTAAAATAATGTAGGGACTTGGCTTCAGCAATAGTTTGCGGCAAAGAATTCCACATTTCAACCAAAAGCTTTCCTTCCATTTTGAGTCGTTGAGGCAAACATCAATGAAAGAGACAAGCAAAAGGGGAATATTAGCAATGATGAAAGAGGTGCCATTTATAATAAGATGCCAGGCGGTTTCAAATGATGTGAATATACCCAGGAGAGGCTGGTAGGGAAGGTAGAAAATTGCCCTCATTAATGCACCGGACTCAACTGTATGGCAACTGGCTAAGAGGTGGGATGACCTGAATATATGCTCAATAATGGTCACAGGGTTATTCAGGCCCATCAAGTTCACTCCATCCACAGACCACACAAAACCAATCCTAATGTAAACTTCACCTCACCCATTCCTGCAACAGTCAGCATAGATATGCCTCAAAAAATTAATCAAAAAGGACAAAATATTCTTCCACCTGACACCGCTACCACCAGCCTGCAAACCTGACCTCCCTCCCTCCCTCCACAAACAATCTCCCCAGCCTCCCCCCACTCCCCCACCGTGCATAGAAATTCATGTCTCATTAAGTTATTAAGTTAGTTATTCATCTCAGTCTTCGCCCATCCCTACAATTTGACAATATTGATCTTTTTTTCAAGCAGCTAATTGACACATCAATTGCTCTGTTGCCAATCCGTTCCATAAAGCCAATACTCTGTGGAACAAATGCTCTTCTGATGGGCAGTCCATCACTATTTATTGTATTTGATTATACCATTCTTTCTGTAGCTTTTGAAGATCGCTACGCAGGTTTCAATTCTGCCAGAAACTTTTGTCTGCGATGGGAACACTGAAGAGGTTGATTCCCTTTCGCTTGTGTGGAGAGGTAAGTAAGTCTACCATATAGTGTTCATTTGGAATCTAACTCCATGGAACATTAGCCTCGGATCAGAGGAGCGTTATATGATCTCTGCTTTGGTGGTTTATGATGGCCTTTTTAAGCAAGTTATAGCCTTCCTCCCACAAAATATAGCCTTCACTTCACTGCTTTTTTCAAGCAGCTAACTGACACATCAATTGCTCAATTCACTTTCCAGTATATTCTGTGAAGTGCTTTGGGACGTCTCGAAGACGTAATAAGGCGTTATGTCAAATACAAGGATTATTATTATTTATTATTACTCCGTGCTCTCAGTAATTCAAAATTCTGCATTAAAACTAATTCCCATAGTTTACTCACATACAAAAAATCCTCTGCCACGTATTGTCAGCCATTGCCTGATATGTTGTGGAGAATTGTATTTTATGAAGCACTCATATTCCATTAATCTTAATAAGGGAGCTATACTCTCCAAAGAGTTTAGAGTTTTGCTGTACACTTTTTTTTGTAAGGAACAAAATAAGGGAGTCCTGTAGCTCAGTGGTTAGAGCGCTCGCCTCGCAAGCGAGAGACCTGGGTTCGATTACCGGCAGGGTGAAACCTTGGGCAAGTTTCCTTACTCCACATGCCTGAAAATAATCCCTCAAGAAAAAAAATAATAATTTGGTTACTCAATCCATGACTGTTTGTTGGCGCAATTGGCTGCCACGTTTCGCCCGCAAATATACAGTCAATTCACTTTACAGTATATGAAAAGCGCTGTATCAAATGCAAGAATTGTTATAAATATTGTTAACGCCTGCAGATACAAAACCCAATTTTCATCAAGTTGATTTCACAAGACTAAATTACACCACTGGACAGATTTGTTTCTGGTCCTTTGTGGTCTTAAAGCAAATGTTTTTCTTAAAAAAAAAGTTTAAAACATTGTCATGGTATTTGCAGCGTTTCATAATACATTTGAATAATCACAACAAACATACACATTATGAAACATTATAAATTGTATCCAATTATACCACCTCTCTCTTCATTTGTTTGCACAAATAAATGTCAAGTGTTTTGTCAATCACGTTTACGTAGCTTTTTTAACTAATCTGTTACAAAAAGTACAATATCAAATGACCTGGAAGACAAGAAAATTAGAAAGCAAAGTCTTACTGGAACACCCGAACGAACAAACACAGCATTTACTGACAATTGGGCTGAATTAAGTAAAATAAAAAAGATCAGCAAATCCTCATCCCAATAGGCCAGTGAATCCCTTTGGTGTCGTTAGCTATAGAGAACTCAAAGGTTCCAGGTTAGAACCCTGGTCTACACTCAGCAAGTGAGGCAAATCAGAGCTATAGAAGTGGTGGCCTCAGTAATTCAGAGCCTGGGAGGGTTAAAATGATTCCCAGGATGACTGCTCTTGATCAAAGTGCACACGTGTGGAAAGTAGATGAAGCGACCAGAGATCAGCTCCGATGGGCCCAGAGCCAAATAATCCAACGATAATAACGTTGCAGCTTCACATGCGAGTCAATGGATTCTGGGCAGAGTACAAAAGAACTGTTGAGACTCACAGTACCTTTGGGCTTACTTCCAATTACAGCAGTTTGGTCCGCAACAGTTAAACTAAGGCACTCACAGCAAAGTAGCTCTGGAACTCACTACTTCTCTGGACTTCCATTAATCTGTCCTTGAGTGGAATTTTCTTCTTCATCCTTCACCGATTATAGCTGCAGGACAATGATTTTGTATCGACACTGTTTCACATACTAATAAGTGAAGGATTAAAATTTGGCCAGGAGCTGAGTTCAAAAAGGTTAGAAACAACTGGATGAAAAATGATTTTTATTCTTGGTCCTGACAGACCGTTCCTCGCTGCAAACATTTAAACAGTTTCATTTGGCCTCTTTAAACGTTGCAGGCTCTGTAGACCTACTATCCCCCTACCACCTCTCCAACCTACTATCCCCCTACCACCTCTCCAACCTACTATGCCCCTACCTACCTGCCGTACCCTCCGTTCCTCTGGCTCCGGTCTGCTCCACACCCCCCGCCCCAACCGCCCTACCATCGGTGGTCGGGCCTTCAGCCTCTCAGCCCCGAGGCTCTGGAACTCCATCCCCCAGTGCCTTCGCCGCTTCCTCCCTTTCTTCCTTCAAGGCCGGTCTCAAGACCTTTCTCTTTGACCTTCAGCCTTCAGCTCCCCTCTCGACTCTCTACCCCCTCCTCGCTCCCTCCCTTCCCTCCCCTCACCCTGACCATTTCTCCCACTGCTCGGGTCCCAACCCAACTGTCCAGCGCCTTGGGACGTCCTCCCGACGTGAAAGGCGCTCTATAAATGGAGTCTTGTTGTTGTTGTTGTAGAGAGACTTTAATCCGCACTTGCAAGATCTGGTTCCTGACTGCTTTCAAACCAAATGTATTGTAAGATTACAATTTTCTGTCACAAGTCCATCAACGGTGAAAATTAAATTTTCTCCTATTCAGGAAATATTAATTGCGTTAAAATCATTCCATGAAAAAATTGCGAGTGTACGTCACAGACATGATCAAAATGTGTTCACTTTACAATCATGAGACTTGTTGAACTGTTGACATCTCGGCAGACATCAATAAGTTTGTTAAACAGTCTGTTTAATGAAACATCTAACTCTCACTGATTAAATGTCATGCTGTTAGCATTCTTCACAATTCCTTTCATGTTTGGATCTGATAACAAGAGTACTGCATAAAAATATTGCTGAATAGTTTGGAGGAAGAGTTTTATTTAACAAAATTATAATTTTTTATTCCCTCCTGTAATATCCTGAAGGCATTCATGACTTTTCCTTCTATTGAGGGTAAAACTCCACAGGAGGCAACTTTCCTGTGGTGCAAGATCATTATTCACATGATTCTGTAATCCTCTTCATTGATTGTTATTTACAAAATGAAAGGCATTGTACTTTCCTCTGTAGTTGTGTTTACACCTAATTTACACAGCTCGCAAATTATAGAGCCCATGAACCAAAAAGATAACCGCAGTAGAATCAAAGAGAGATTATACAACATCTGAATACTGATCACGGTATCAAAACATCAACAGACATGCTTAATAATTCATCTTGAAAATATCAGTGCCTAACATTCAGTGGCAATCCAATTTGATCCTATTTAAATACTGCTGCATGAGGAAGATTGAATATTTCATGCAGTAGGGTCAACAGAACCTGGAAATCGACCATAAGCCCATCAAATTGGTAGACTCAGTTGATTTATTTCCAAACTATACATCTTATAATTATAGCCATATCTTAACTTTCACCATTTTTCCTTTCAATCACTGTGTCTTCTTAATGATGGCAAACACGGATAATGAAAACAAACACGAATAATGAATGGCTTATTTGCTCTCAATCTTCATCAGCCAAACAGACGTAAAACATTCAAGGTCTAACAATATGTCTGCAGACATTTGGCAATAGAGATGATGCTTGCTGAAGTGATGTGTGGAAAAAGTTATTTTTTAGATGGCTGATTGGTCTTTCTTCGGCCTTATAAATATAATATCTACAAACACTGCCAACAAACATTACATTATATTCTTTTCAATACAAATTCGCTGAGCGGTAAATCCTTACAGATCCCTCAATTGAAAGTGGTGCAAGCACTCTGCACCTCTCAGACCTCTAATTCATAGAAACAGAATACAAATATTCCCTTCCACAAGATGGTAACACAAAATGAAAGCTCCATGAAGTGAATTTATTTGGATGATTGTTGGTCAGAACACCAGGAGAAATTATTTTTGTTTTGAATAGTGTCAGGTAATCTTTACTGCCCACCTGAACCAGCGAACATACCTCGGTATAAACACCTCAGCTGAAGAAAGGCATCGGAAAAGCAGTCTTCCCCACAGTATTTAACTGAAGTGTCAGTCTAGGCTATGAACTCAAGATTCGACAGTTAGGACATGAACGCATAATCTTCTGATCTAGAGTCAAGTATGCCGGCAATTGAGCCAACCAAACATTTCCTAAAGCGGTGATCTTTTTAATGTGAAAGTCCGCAACTAAGCACTTGCATCATCAGCAATATGTATCATTGAGGTCTGCCCCAGTGAGTTGCATATCACCTCAAGTCTTATTAAAAGTAAATGTTTTGTTACTTACGTCTTTAAAGGTGGCCTTTTCTTCTTTGAAGACTTACTGCCATTTTCTTCTTCGGGTGTGACAGGGTCATCGTTCACCTCGAATGAAGCGGAGGAATGCGAAGGGGATCCCAACATTTTTGAGGAAGATTTGAAGGGGTCCAAAGAGCCATCACAATTGTCTGCCTCAAAACTGTACGAAGCACGAGATAATTTGGGAGAATTGGGGACCTTAACATTACTGCCAAACGGATTAAAATTGGGATCATCCCATTGATCAGGGTTAAAAGAATATGAGGTCTTCTGAATTGGGATATCGTCAATATCAGTCGTTGAAGGTGGCGTAGAAGAAGTGCTGTCCACCTTTTCAACCGAGGGAACCTTTTTGGCCCCAATCTTTGGCTTTCTGAGTGGCATTTTTCCACTGGGCTTCTTACCCAGTTTCTTAGGAGGCGGTTTCTTTGCCTGCTCGGTTTCAAAATCGTCTTTATTTTCGGAATAGTCAAACTCCAGCCTCACCGCATGGCCCAAAGCTGGAGAGTCAATCTTGACGTCAACCACAGGTTCCACTCTTTCCGATTCTGTCGATACTGCGGTAGCCCCCCCGCTTTTGGTCTCTGAAAGTGGCACCTTCTGCACAGCTCCACCGTCGAGAGAACCGATTTCGACAAAGTTACCTGGATCGAAGCCGCAGGAAGCCGAAGTGGGAAGGGGAGAGTCGTTCACTGCGCTTTGTGGACAAGGCGCTTCAGGTAACGTCTCGGCTTTGCTAGTCTCTGGAGCTGGGGGCACTGCCGGGCATTCCGTCACTGTTGGTATCTCTACAGGTTGTTCTGATCGGACCTCTGCGGCCTGCTCTGCCTTTGACTTCCTTTTTACAGACAGTGGCCTGGGTTTCTTCTTCTTAACACTGGGAGCATTATCTGCAGCTATACTGAATGCCTCTGGTTGCAAGGATGTGGCCGGGGCTTCTGTATTGCCAACATCTGTGGCTTCGGCAGGCGTTTCAGCCTTTTGCCCGAGTGGTGGAGATGGCAGTGGTGGACTGGAGCCAGCTGGAGAGGATGGGATCTCTTTACTGGCTTGTTCGAGGATTCCTGATCCCTTTGGCTTGTCTGTCACAGGTGAGCTCGGAGCCAGAGAGGATGAAACCTGGAAAGGGGCTAACGACTCGAGACTATCAAAATCAATTTTATAAGCTCCACTACTGGCTATTGGTTTATCTTCATCAAAGACGATGGAGGCTGACTCGGAGAGAGGTCTGAAGGCATCAGCTTCCCCTAACTGTTTTTCAGTGGTGTCTACGATCTGATTGTCAGGGGAAAACACTGTAAAGAAAGAACAGATACCCACTCAATCATTGTACATTACTTAGAGACTTTTGAATGATAAATAATAGATATAATAAATAATAAATAAATGCAAGGATTGTTATTGATAAATCTGCGTCAACCCAAATCTTTTAAGATTCTGTTCTTCTTTCACCCCAAACTTCAAATAAAAACTCCTTCCATACACAAACGTGTATTATTTTTCTTTTTTTAAAAAAAACTTTGTACACGAGCAAGCACAAAGCAGACAAACATCGATGCACTGGATTTACATGACTCAAGATTATAGCCGCACATTCATGTACTCGCAAAACAGTTTAATTTAAACAAACTATAATACTTTCAAATTTCCAGGGGCTGGGGTTATTCTGCCTTGGTAATGGGTACTGTTTTAGTCTGATCTGGCAGCAACTTGGTTGAGACTGTTTAAACTCATTTAAAGCCATTAGCCTCAAGGCTCTCATTTGTGTAATGACACCATTTGTGTAATGAACGCAGCATTAAATGCTTTTGCCAAGATACATCAGATTTGTATTTTATAATACAGAAGTACAACTGAACTTTTAATTCATTTCTATGCTAAGCAAAAATAAACCCACCGAGTTCACTGACAGCAGTCAAAAAGGCAGTCAACACACATTAAATATAAAATGTGCTGAACACATGAAAACAGCTAAACAGCTACCATCCATTGATGTGTTCCATCAGGTGCACACAGCGAACAGAACAAAAGGACAAAGCCAGTCTGCAGAATCGTTCCATCTCACGATCCCTGTCCAGTATCACAACAGATATATCTTCATTTGCTGTAGCAAAAGCAAAACCGTTTGCAGACTTATTTGGTCAGATATTCAGCGGTCACGTGAGCTGAAACCATTTTAATTTTGAAAGCTGCTTTTGGTTTTCTAAAGCAATACCAGTTTACCACACGAAAAGGGATCGAAATATGAAACAAAATCCCCCACAGTCAATTTTTTCTATTACTACTGTTTAAAGTACATGAGTCAGGCTTTAGAGAGGGAACTGAGCCCAATCCAAGGTCTGCGATTCTCGCGGTGATAAGATCCCAAACCAGGGTCAAACCTCCAAAAACAACCCCACAAAAAATAGCCTACTAACAAAGTTTTATTGATCTAGAATGGAAAGAAAAACTTATTTTAGACATAGTTCTGTTATTGGCTTCATATTTGGAAGCAGTTTTCCTTTTCAAGTTTCACATCACCTTGAAGACTCCGTCTAACGTAAAGTCACAACTCATTACTTTCCACTTGTATTGTTCACAATGTTGGGCAGGGGGGGGATTTGAGGCCCATGTATTTCCTGTGGAATGAAGGGGAGGCAAGAGACAACAGCTGTCGTCTCAAGAGAGGCACTCACTACTAATCGTTCTCACGTTCTCAAGTCTCAAACATTGGCCCAACTCATTCGTTGCTCCAAAAACAACTAAAACATGCAAACACATTGATTCTGTACTATTTACTCTGTCTGAAATTCTTTTGCTGATAAATCAGTCACCTCCAGGATATGTCAATAAGGTGAAATGGGAGTAGACACACTGTGACCACGTGGGCGATAGCAGATCAGTTAATTTAGAATATCAAACACCCTCTCTAAATAACCTGGCTGCTGCCAATATTTCCCTTTGTCATTCAAAGCTTAAAGTATATCAGGTGGCGAGGGGAGGAAAAAATATTTTGATTTTTTTCCACTGCTCATTCAATTTCTAGTCTCCGGTTTCCAGCATTGGTTTCTCATCTCTTATTCCATCTTGGTTTTTTTTGGCCTGTGGTGGCCTCAAAATTACATGCTATTAGAAAAATCCACAATAGCTGCGTTTAAAAGGATATTTGCCAGTCCAAATAGAATATATCAAAGACTGGAATAAAAAACACTTGGACCCAAAAGGGTTTCATTCACACGCCATTTGCTCTTTTGGAATTAGAAAAACGTTGCTTTCAACCTAGTACACTATGCTTTTTTCTTATGTAGTCTGTTGCAAAAGAATGATTGGGTTCTCAACGTACCAGCACCACAGTGCCAGATGTCTTCCATAAATGGCTTCCTGCATGATCAGCTCTGATAGCAGATTGACGTCACAACACAGAGGCACAATTACAATTCCCACAACTAAAATCTCTATCTTTCCATAAGTCCTGCAGCTCAGTGGTTAGAGCACTCGCCTCGCAAGCGAAAGACCTGGGTTCGATTCCCGGCAGGGTGAAACCTGGGAAAGTTACCTTACTCCACACACCTCTGTTTACCTAGCGGTAAGTAGGAACCCGGTTGTTAGTCGATTGGTGGATCACTTTTACGTGGATAATAATCCTTCAAAAAAATATATAATTTGGCCACTCAATCCACGACTGTTTGGGGGCCCTGCTGTGCACAATTGGCTGCCGTGTTTCGCCCACAATGGCCAATAGATCTGCTCAGCATGTCTGCTATCAGGATGAACGCAGACTTTGTTAAATCCACCAGGATTTCTCTCCTTTAAAAACAATGATGGTGTCAATTTGATTTAAAGAGAAGGCAGACATAAAAGACACAGTCCAAATAAAACAGAGGCTAATCAACTGGGTCTTGAAAGAGTATCCAAGGAGGAAGTGAGATTAATGTGTAGGACACAAGCACTTCTCTGACTTCAGGGGTCTGAGTTTGACCAGGCTATATGAAAGACATCTTCACTCACAAAATATAGTGTCAATTCACTTTACAGTATATTCTGTGAAGCGCTTTGAGACATCTAGAAAACGTGAAAAGCGCTATATCAAATGCAAGGATTATTATTTATAAGCCAACATTGTGCTGTATAGTTAAGCTGTATAGCTATATTCCATGCAATGAGGCAGTGAAGAAAGAAAAAAAATTATATTTAATGCATTATATCCAATGAATTAATTCCATCCTACTAATTACTACAGCTACCGAGAGACATTTCACAAAAATATCCTTTGTCCAGAAAAACCGAGTTGATCAGCACTCAATTAACACAGCGCCAGGTGGCGGTCTGCATTATGTGATGCTTTACTGCGAGGGCTGAAACAAAGTGAATGTTTTGTGAAGGCAATGGGTCTCAACATGAATTTACCTGCTTCCTCTTTCAGATCCTGACCCAGTTGCTGTATATTTGCAGCACTTTCCGCTTCTATTTCAGATCCCCAGCACAAGCAGTAGCCTCTCTTCTTATTTCAATGTGACTGACATTGAGTATTATCTTAACAGGACTCAGTCATCTAATTCAAGCGGCTGTTCTTTGCCATTGACAGAAACACCGCTTAAAATGTCGGTGAGGCAGGAGAAATTGGAAAGTTTCAAAATGAATCTCCAAATCTCTTATCAGGCCCTCAGTGCACCAGCTGTTCAACCTGGTTAATAACGGAAAGCTAATTAGCAGCTTCCAATTTTCCTCCCGTCTTATCAACTCGGCCCAGTTCTGCATGTTTGCCATTTCTAATTCACGGAAGGACGTGGCAGTATATTATCTCTGCAGATTTGCAGTTTCCCCTTCTCCAATCCAATTCCTACAACTGGTTTGGATTTGCTTAAGCACAGTGATGGTTTTCCTCATGTGTCACACACCTGGCTGATTCCCCACCCACCCAAAAAATAATTCTTGCAACTGCACCTTAAATCCACCCACTGAACTTATCTGTGGGCTGCCTTCCCAGTAAAATATCACAAACAGTGATAGTGTGTGCACTTTTAATGGAACTTATTGCATTAAATACAATCCAATAATCACAGCTGATTAATGCAACAAATCCAGTTTGTGAATATTAAATTTTAGACTGAAGTTTTTATGCACGTGCGTGACTCACAAAATAATTCAGCCAATATAGTTAAAAACTTTTTCTTTAAAAGTTTAATTGTAGTTGTCGTCTGAAGTATAGCTTTTATCTGTAGGCATTCTATCTTTGGATGCTCCCTTCACCTACTTTTTATTACCAAGTAAAGCCCAGATATCTTAACCTCATTGAAAACTGATCGGACTCATTCCCTGTTAAGCACGTAGAAATATTAATCAGATTAACATAGCTCGGATACATAGCAGCAGGGATCAGATGCTCCCCTAATGAAATCATATGCCATCATTAGCTAACTGGGTAATTAATTGCTATCAGTCAGGTCAGTAGCCTCTCTGTGTCAGAGTTGTTTTGAATGGAGACAAAGAACAATTCCCTGAAATGTTGCTGTTCTGGTAATAACAGCACAAAGTTCTGCCTGTCCTTGTTCTGAGTCTCTGCCAAATGGAGAGCAGGTGCTGTATTGTTTTTCTAACAGTTTGTTGTCCTCAAGCCATTTACCAAATATTGGAAGACTTCATGTTTGTGTCAAAAAGACTGAAAGAATCTGAGGGTTAAAGTTAAATTTGATATTCATTCTGGAATATGAAAGCTTATCCAACCAGAGAGACTTTGTAAAACTCCCGACTTCCCCAAGTTTATACAAGTCTACATATCATGTTCTTAAAGTGAGAATCAGCCACTGAATCATTCAGTTGTACAATGTTTATGAAAGCTTTCCATTCAGTTGGAGGGCAAAAGTCTCCCCAAGTCTCTCAATGAAGCAACTTTATATTAACCTTTTGTTATTATTTTAATCCTGCATTAAACTTCGGAAAGGCAGGCATTTTATAGCCTCTGAGCCAGGTATTCTGACAAATCATGTTATTTATGGTAATCCCCAGAAATTAAGTGGATGGGGTGGGGAGAGGGAGGGGGGGGGCTGAAGTCACAATTTTGTGGGGTCAATGTTTTCACACCTGTATTGTGTAATAGGACTAAATTGAGTACCTTCAGTAAACAACGATTATGAACTAAATGGAATGATTTAACAGGAAAGCAAACTCCCTGAAGCAGATCTGTTCTTGTACAGATAAGAATATTGATTCTATTTTAAAAAGAGCAGCAGAGATTTAGACACCGACTACTAATAGATGAACTCCTCCCCCATGTCGAAATTATTCCAAAGCCAGCAAATCCCACAAACAGTGACTATTTGTTCAGCCTCTATTATTGCACAGGTATTAACTGAAGGCTGGTGCATGTCACGTGCTTATCTCCATCGAGGATAATTATGTTAAATAGGTTTCTGTGACCATCAAATGCAGAGAGAGCTAACTTTCCGCTCAATCCAGTTCCACTTGACTTCCGATGCCCCAGTGGATAGCTATTTTTGGCTGTGAAACTCAGATTTAAAATGACTGAAAGCTGGTGCAAGGGATCCAAATAGGAAACTGCATTCAAGACCCACGGATTCAGGCTGCTTTTCACGTGCTGGAAACTCGCTTAAAGCGGCATCGTCATCTGGTGAAGGATCTCAGACATCGCGCTGTCAGGTCCTGGGCATCGCTTTCACTCCGACAACGATTTGGAAAGCAACGATTAAAAATAAAAGTATACAAACAAATTGCTAAAAAAAATCTGCACTGCAGCACCAATGTTCCCTCGCAGATAACGAGGCTATGAATGCACTCAGTGAAAGCTCATATGTCAACAACGCCCATTTTAAAAGTCACCGATCAATCTCTTTGTTTTATATGAATGGAGATAACTTATTGGGAGAGGGGGAAGAGAAGCGAGATCCGAAAATATCATTCCATTACGTCAGAGGTAAATCCACCCCCTTTCTTTTCCACTGTTATAATGTGTTTGGGCAGATAGGTGACGGGAATGGGTACAGACGTTTATTAAATTCAGGATGCTTTTTGAAACTATGTGCCCTTTTGTCTGCAAATCATAGCTGCATAAATTATAGCAAGCCACATGAAGGTTGGAAACACAAAAGCAAAGTGCCAAGCCATTTACATATTGTATCTGTCACCAGCACTTCACTGCCTTTATTGTGTTCCCCCCTACTTCATCGGTTTGACCTCCAGTCAACCATCATTAATGGCACTCGTCTTTCTGTACCTGAATCTTCGGCGGGCAGCTGCTCTTGGCTCTCCTCTTCACCAGCCCCGGTGGGAATCTGCGGAGCGACTTTGACAGGGGTCGTCTCTTCGGGCGTCTCGAAGGCTCCTTCCGAGTCCGAGCTCCTAAAACAAAAATGAATACACGTCCTGTGAAAAACGCATCAAAGAAAAACACAATCAGTTTTCATCCACACGCGTCCAGCAACACTGACAGAACTTGCCTAGATCCAGTTATTTTCTGCACAAACTGGAGACTGTAGTCTCCTCCACCGCAAACTGCAGACCATGTCCATCGAGCCCACTGCACCGGAGACAGAATTTGCCAAGAGCTAAGAGCCATTTCCGTCTTAATTCCGTCTACAAAACTAGGCTGACGTAATTTAATTCAAAGGAATAGAGACACTGGAGTATTCCCGTTCAATAACAGTGACAATGCTCCTGCAAGTTGGCCATCCTTTATGTTCTCAGAGGCTGGCTGACGTGTGTTCCGAAGCTCTTTGCATGATACAAAGTGGTTGCTTTAACGCTCAAATATATCCGCAGTTTTCCCCTGTTCACAGCCCGAATCCACTCCTGGCACAGGACAGGCTACTGCAGAACGACTTCAGTGTAGTATCCCACAGCACAGGCCATTTGATTGTCCAGATCTCAGCCTGTTATCTTCACTGAATTCCAATGAGATCTCAGAGCTCGATCTTGCTTTCACAGCACCAGTGCCTGGAGCCTACCACTGGTATTGGAGGTATTCTGTTACCACAATCCACCTCCATGTACAGCAATGTCTCCCATCGCTGCATCAGAACAACCCCCCTCGTCCTATTGTACTAACCCTTCTGTTAACAGTTTTATAGTGCTTCTGTTTCAATGAGAAGTTTAAAAAAAACAACATAAATTAACCCTTTTCTTGCTGAATTACACAATTTACATACGCAAAATTACATTTGTATAGTGCCTTTCACGTCATGGGGTTTGTATATATATATATACACACATATAAAAACGCAGGCAACTGTGATGGTATATAATAATAATAATCCTTGCATTTCATATAATGCCCAATCACATCTTTGAGACATCTCGAAGCGCTTCCCAGAATATACTGTAAACTGCCATGTTGAACAGAAAGGGTTAAAAATTAGCTATTGACCATAATTGCTGTAATTTTAGTAGCTGCAGAATTTTGATATTTATGTGACTATCAGGATACTGATACTAAAATCTGTCTATCAAATTGATGGTAAATGTACACTTTCAACGAGGGCCCACTAATCCAGAGCCAGGGTGTGGGCGCATATATTCTATTAAGCAACAACTGTGTTGTTGAGTTACTACGGGTCACCTATAAAGACTCCAATGTTTTGTATTTAGTAAGAGAACTGTAACAACCTCTCATGACCCATGCTCCTCAATCTGGGTCAGGACAGCACATCCTGTGGTGGAGGCAAACAATGGTTCTGCCAATGCTTATAGGGGCCCCAAGTGCAATCCTGTGATCAGATCAATCACAGACCCACCATAGCTATTTAAGATTGTATGGATTGCTAATCTCTCGCACATTCACTCAGTTATAACAGGTACTCGAAGATGTCCTCCCGACGTGAAAGGTGCTCTATAAATGCAATCTTGTTGTTGTTCATGGCTCGATCACAGTTTGGTTGCCAATTAGCTGTCGTTTGTGTCTGCTTGGCTCAGTGGTAGCACTCTCAAGTCTGAGTCAGAAGGTTGTGGGCTCAAGAACCACACAGTCACATTAGTCCAAGGTGACTCTCTGGTGCAGTACTTGGGGGCCGCTACATGGTAGGAGCAGCTGTCCTTTGGATGAGATGTTAAACCGAGGTCCTGTCTGCCTGTTCATGTAGACGCTAAAGATCCCGTGGAGCTATTCGAAAAGACAAAGGAGTCTCTCCCTTTCCAGTGCCTTGGCCAACAACACCCCCCCCCCCAAATAAAATTGGTCACTCACTCCATGGCTGTTTGTAGAAGGTTGCTGTGTGCAAACCGGCAAGGTTTACCCACAGAATACACAGTCAAACCACTTCACAGTATATTCCGTGAAGCGCTTTGGGACGTCTCGCCTGGCATGAAAAGGCACTGTACCAAATGCAAGAATTATTATTATTATTATTATTGTAGGTTGAGGGGGGGGGTTGGTTTTGAGATATCGCTGAACTGATTTCTTAATTAATTAATTAATTAAGAAATCAGGAGACTGGTGCTGCCTAGTCACTCCGGGGCTATCTATTTGTGGAGCGCGATTCCCTCGAGTCAGAGTTACGTGCTGACTTCCTGCAGTCTCAAGGGTGGCCACATTCGAGCTGCTGCTTAGCGAAAGGGAGAGCGCTGCTCTGTTGGGATACAAGTATGACTGTGACTCAGTGATATTTCTAATGACAAGAGCTTTGAGATATTCGAGCCCTTTTCTGTCATGAGAAATGAATGACGACAAGACAGTTTAAAAGCCAGCGGTGAGTGATGTGCAGCATTACCTTAGAACTATTTGATGCTCAATGCCAAAAATTGTGGATCTCTGCAAAACTGATCATGTTACACAATATAGGTTCACGGTAATAGAAGGGTGCAAAGGATGACGTCGAGTATTGTCGAACGTGAATGTGACAGTGCCTTAGATGTCAATTGATGTCTCAGTCCCCATGTTTGGCTTTGCTGACAGGCCTATTTGCAGCAATGCATCGTGCAAACAGTGACTGTGCAAATTGAGCTCTAATCTGGACTGTAAAAGCACCCGGCAGCAATTTATTAAATCAAAAAGGACAAATACAGTTGAAACAGATACAGACTAAACACGACTTGGTGATCAATTTCTACTCCATTAAGAGAAAGAGAACAGAAAGAGAACATCTGACTTTATTTGAGCGAAGATGACAGAGGTTGATGTATAGTATGAGATAATAGAACAGGAGATTAAATAATGCAGGAGATAATTAAGGCTGTGGTTTTTTGACCACTTCACAAGGAACACATGGGCATACAGCACTAGCACAAGATTGGGATGAAAATGTCAGACTTTGTTCAACAGACAATTCTTTATGTTTTGTTTGCATCAATTATCTGGCATTTTGTACACAGTAACACATTCTGTAACAAAGGCCTTCTCCAGAGGCCGCGAAATCATATCCTCGCTACCCAATTACTTTACTAATACTGAATACTGTGTAACTGAATTTCAGCAAAGTAAGCACATATACTTTTCTTTAGCACAGAATTGTTGACTGCATTTTTTTTGAAAAAACATTCAGCGCAAATATGCTACCACCACTCTCACAGAGCAAATCAACAATGCCAAATTACGTTTGTATAGCACCCTTCAAGCTACCAAGTGTGAAAGGACGTCCTGAGGTGCTGGAGGGGCGCTAAATAAATCCACGTTGTTGTTGCTGTTGTTGGATAAAATCCTCATTTTATCCTTAAAAACAAATCCCCAAAAGATAACTGTGTGCTTGAGTAAGGAAAAAGTAAGATTGGACCTATTTTTAGTCCGACGCAAATGCTTTTCTACGCTGTCTGCAGTCTTGAAATGCACTGTGCACTCCTGAAATGCAGATCTTTCAGGACTAATAGCAACAAACAGCACCCACTGGAACAAAAGGGAGGTCTCTACATAACATATGGGCAGGGCAGTGAGCTAAAACAAGGTGGATTTATTTTGCTTGCCCTTAGGCTGGAAGTGAATTGAACACCATCTGTGCATTAGAAATTTATCAGGAGGAAAAAAAATGAGTAGAGCTGCTTCTCCAAATGTTTCCCTTCCCTGAAGGGACACTCCCCAGATTCCCCAAATATGCTTAGCGACGAGCTCTCCAGCGAAATGCACTTTAACAGTGAATCCACCAAGTTGGTAGTTTAATTTTATAGGTGAAAAGCTAACCTTGTTTCGAATGTATTTTACTGGAAGATGCAATCTCTGTCCTACACTCCCGCCCCAAACAAAAGAATCCATCGTCGAGTCTCACAAAAAGAGGATGCTGTGTTGCACGCTTTGCTATCTGGCATTAAGCAATGTGCCACGTCAATTTGCCGGTCAATGTTGTATAACGGGTCAGGTCAGTCCTAGCTTTGGTTTATCAAAGTGCAGGACCTCTGCCCTCGCAAACAAGTGAGTGGGTTTATTTGTTGAAACCCGAGTAGATCGCAGCAGAACTGTCCAACCAGTTTGATCATTGAGATAGTAGAAATTCGCAATCGATATCAATTGTCAAATCAAAAGGATCATTTAAAAATAATATATATGTATATATATATATGATTTTATAGGAATGATGAATACTGCTCTAAAGGTTGCTGTAGAAGGGAGTGATGGAGCCCTCTATTTTGCTTCCGATAATTTTTCAGCAATTTCTCATGGCAACCCAAGGTTTACATAATCTTTTGTTCAGTGATGCTCCCAGCTCATGTGTCTTTTTCTATCTCTCTCTCTTTTTCTCTCTCTGTGAGGACAGATCCCATTTTGCTTTTCAAATTTCTCACACCCTTCACGAACGCTCAAACAACCTCAAACGACTGACGTAGGGAGCAGGTCTTTCTGGAGGAAAGACTTCTTTAGTAGCCAGTACCTGACATCAGCACAACATCACAATTAATCGGGTTTGCTTCACTTCTCCTCTCTGCTGAAATTAAATGGCTCATTTGGATTGTTACTCCATCTCACTCGATTGACAACTGAAGAAATTCCCAGTTGGAACAAGCAAACTTGAGTGACAAGCAGCCCTCGGCACCAAAGCTGCAATTACTTAAACTACCAGTCTTTCTCCTGTATATCTGCAAAATGTAATCATCCACGATTGACACTCTCAAATAAACACAGGCAGAATGGGTAACTACTAACCATACACTGTTATGTAGGTCCTAACAACAACAACAACAACAACAACAAGATTCCATTTATAGAGCGCCTTTCACGTCAGGAGGACGTCCCAAGGCGCTGCACAGTTGGGTCATGACCCGAGCAGGGGGACATGTTCAGGGTGAGGGGAGGGAAGGGAGGGAGAGAGGAGGGGGGAAATGGTCAGGGTGAGGGGAGGGAAGGGAGGGAGCGAGGAGGAGGAAGAGAGTCGAGAGGGGAGCTGAAGGCTATGTAGCTCCTATAGATTAATAAATGATTATTG